TGCTGTGAAAGCAGTTGTCAAGAAATTAAGTCATATATTGCGTTGGGAAAATCTGTTGCAAAAAACCTCTTTAACGTTTTAAAAAAGCAAAGATGTCACTTTTGAGGACTAAAGCACACTTGACTGTATCCATGCTATTTTTAATCTCTTTGTGTGCATGTGAAAACTGGACACTGAATAAGAAAGGCCAAAGAATTAATGCATTTGAATCATGGTGTTGGCAAAGAATATTGAAAGTACCACAAACTATTAGAAGAACAAACTAATCTGTTTTAGAAGAAGTACAACTAGAATGTTTCATAGAAGTAATGATGGTAAGACATTTGACTCACATACTTTGAACATGTTATCAGGACCAGTCTCTGGAAAAGGATATCATGTTAGATAAAGTAAAGGGTCATAAAAAGAGGAAGACCCCAATGAGATGTATTTGATACAGTGGCTACCACAATGGGCTCAAATATAACAATTGTGAGAATGGAGCAGGAATGGACATTGTTTCATTCTGCTGTGCACAGGATCGCTATGAGCCAACTCAACGGCACCTAACAATAATGAGTTTTGGCATTGAGGTTTGGTGTCTATACTAGATTAAATAACAAGGCTAGGAAAAGAGGATATACTAGATTGTTGTTGTTAAGTGCGGTTGAGTCAGTTCCGACCCATAGCAACCCTGTATAGCTTGAACCACTGACTTTGCAGTTCAGACAGTTTTGCAATCTGGCGCATTAACCCACAGTGCCATACCAGGACTCCATATAGTAGATTAGAGAATAGTTAATCCCCTGCTGGCTTTAGTTTTAAGCCTTTGTTATGGAATACCCATGTAGAGGCATACCTCATTGTGCTTCACAGATACTGAATTTTCAGAAATTGAAATTTTTTATGGCAACCCTGTGTTGAACAAGTTATCAGCACCATTTTTACAACAGGACTTGTTTAGTTCATGTGCAGAGACATTTTTGTAATTCTCAGTCTTTCAAACTTTTTCATATTGCTGTTGCACACTCAGTAGACCATGTTGTTATAGTAGTTGTGTGCCTTCAAGTCAGTTCCAACTCATAGCAACCCTGTGTAGGGTTTCTAAGAGCTGCTGGTGGGTTTGAACTGCCAAGCGTGTAGTTAGCAATCCAACGCCACACACAGGCTCTGTTGTTGTTAAGTGCTATCAAGTCAACCACTACTCATAGAGACCCTGTATAGGGTTTCCAAGGAGCAGCTGATGGATTTGAACTGCCAACCTTGTGATTCGCTGTCCATTGCTGATCCTATAGCAGAAAGTGAATGGTTTATGACAAGGTGTCCCATAGACTAGTATAGTATAAACATAACTTTTATATGCATTTGGAAACAAAATTTGTGTGAGTGGCTTTATTGTGATATTTGCATTGCTATAAGGAGCTCTGGTAGCGTAGTGGTTACGAATCGGGCTGCGAACCTTAAGGTCAGCGGTTCGAAACTACCAGCCACTCCGCGGGAGAAAGATGAGGCTTTCTACTCCCGTAAAGATTTACACCCTCGGAAACCCTGTACAGGGTCGCTATGGGTCGGAACCGACTCAACGGCACTTAACAACAACAACAACAATTGTGGTCTGGAGTTAAACCCACAGTATTTCCTATTTGTACCAGTCTTTTAGGTTTATTGTTTTTCCATTCTTGTTTCCTGCCACTTGCTGGCTTTAGGGCTCATGGTGGCTCAGAGACATTGGCCATCCCTTGCCAGGGTTGAAGTGAACTTCTCAGAGTCTTACCAGAGCTGGAGATCCCCTCTGTCTTTCGTGTAATTACTGATTTATCAGCCCGCCTGGAGGAATCTGGTTGCACAGAAAGATAATGGATCTTAATGAACACCTGGAAATTCAGGTTGGGGCTGTCTGTTCCTCATATGTCTTCTGTCACTTCTCATAGGGCAGGGCTTTGCTGTCATTAAGACGAGATGCCCCACAGCAAGTGAAGTGCCTTACTTCAAGTTACTTTTCAAGCCACCACCCTTGGCAAGCCTATTCATGCTTGTCCAACTTTCACTGCAGAAAGGAATTTGTTTGCTAAATGAGTGCAGCTCTTGTTCCCTGCTTATAGGAGAAAGGCCCACAGTCCATTTGCATCATTATTTCTGCTGGGGGCAGGGAGTGGTTACTTGGAAAACATCTTGTTTTTCTAGCAGAGCTTCAACAGAAACAAGCACAGTGTATGCATTTGTGCTTGGGATTTTTGACCCTACTGAGCCTTGGTGTGGCACTGTAGGATAAGCACTGGACTGCCAACCTCAACGTCAGCAGTTCAAACTTACCAGCCACTCTCAGAAACCCTATTCAGGGTTGCTATGAGTCAGCAGTAATAGGGACCAGGCAGTAGTGCCTCCCTCAAAGATGGTGACTGACCCATGCTGCTTTGAATGTGTGCTGCACTCCACATTCCCGTCAGTGATCCAGTCTGCCACATCAGAGTACTGTTGGGTCAGAGATTTAGTTGCAATGCAATGTATACGCTGTCCATGTTTATGTCTGCATTATGAACCGGTTTAAAGTCACTTTCTAGCTTGAAAAGAAAATTCCTATTTGATTTTCCCAGTCTTTGAGTGCTTACATTTCTTCTTGCTTCTGTTGTCATTTTAGGATTCATCTGTTCCTTTAGAAAATGCTGGTTTTCTAGCTTGTGTACTCAAATAAATAGAAATAAGAATAAGTTATTGTTCACAGGCATTGTTTGTTAGCTCTCAAAATATGATTACATCCACCATTTTATCTTGGTTAATCGTCACGAAACCCTGGAGAGTTTAGGCTTGACCAGGGGTGGTTGGTGTCTGTATCCTTCATGTTCCAGCAGAGAAAACTGGGCCATAGTGGGGTGAGAGGTTAAGCAATTTGCTTAAGGTCAGTGAGAAAGAACGTAGTAGAATCTGTGTCTGCAATCCAGGTGTCTAAAACCAGCCATCATTTATTACAGCTACCTCTTGCCGCCACCACTGCCCCCTCCCTACTAGTCTGGGAAGAGAGTTGCAGACCAGAGTTGAGCTATATGGACGGGGTAGGGCATGGTTTTAACTTTGGACCATCTGGGAGGGCAAGTGGAGTGGGAGTGATTACTCAAAGCACCTGTTCCTTACCTGTGCCTTCTTTGGCAGCTCAATTCACTTACCAGTTAGCAAATCCCAGTCTCTGCATAGCATGACCTTACCCTATCCTTGGGATCTTAAGCAGAATCCGTCCTGTAAAAATATCCAAGGCCCTAATAGGGTTTTCCATAGAGAGAAGAATTATCCATGAGCTTTAAAAAAAAAAAAAACCTGTTAAGGGCCAATCTCACCTCTGCCATTTACTAGTTATGGGATATTGGGAAAGTTTCTTAATCTCCCTGAGCCTCAGGTTGGTTCTTCATCTTCAAAATGAGGAAAATTGTAATAGTGACTATCTCACCTTCAGAAACTGCCTTTAGAAACCATTTGCAAGGGTGGCCCCTAGTGGAAGAAATGAAAACTGCAATTCAGGCTATCCTGGATGACAGAGAAAGTTGATCTGGAATGTAGAGAATCTAGCCTTGTGAATAGACCTAAGGACAAGAGTTTTTTAAAAATGTTATTTTCAATTAAAGAGCAATTGGTAAAACAAATGAAAGAAATTCCACTGAAGATATGAGGGGCAATTATTTGAAAGGAAGGAAAATAGACCTAGTTTCCCAGAATGGTTTTGTAGACCACTGCCTCTATGTATTGGACCCTTGAGTCAGGTTTCTGCAAGGCCGACGCCTTCAGGTTCCATTACTCTGGTGGCACCTTCTTTATTCCTTTAAGTCTATTACTTGCTACCCCCTGAAATGAGTGAGTTATGTATTTTGCTCAGCCCTCCCATAATGTAGGCTTAGTAAGAGCAGGTGCCTACTCTGTCTGATTCATGATTTTGTCCTGATAGCCTAACAGCGTCTGGTAGATAGCTCAGTGGATACCTACTGAATGAATCCTTTGGGAAACTTTTCACCACAGCTTCTTCAACTTTGGGTATTACCACAAAGACTGAATAAAAGATTAATTACAGTCACATTGTATTTAACAACCTTCAGTATAGTGAGTATCTTGTGCCCGGTTTTGTTCTCTGTGCCTTTAAACAACCCTAGGAGAGAGGTTCTGTTGTCTTCCCAGTCTATAGGTGAGTAAACTGGATGCAGCAACGTTAAATAACTTGCCCAACGTCACAGAACTCGTAATTGGCAAAATTGAGATTTGAACTCAGGTAGTCTCTTCCAAAGTCCATATATACTCCTACCTCTTTATCATGCTGGCTTTCTAGTTCTGGGGTGGTGCGGAGTTCTAGCATGGCACTATAGGGTACACTGGTCTGCAAGGTTGGTTTCAATCACAAGGTCAGCAATTCAAAGTCACCAGCCACTCCTAAGAAACCCTATAGAGGGTCAATATGAATCTGAACCGACTTGAAGGCACAAGAACAGCTCTGATATTATGTGCTACTTGTTAACTGTGTAAACGATTTGAATGTAGATTATCATTTGTTGTTGGTGATGGGTTGGTTATGACCCATAGTGACCCTGTATAGGGTTTCTGAGGAGTGGCTGGTGAGCTTGAACCTTGTGATTCAAAGCAACTTTCTCAGTCCAACGCATTATTCCCCAGTGCCACACAAGGACTCCGTAGACTATTATAACATCGCACTATTCTCTAATTTTTTTACTCAAATATTCTGCCTGTTATTTTAGTATTTTCATACTAAAAGAAATCCTTCTAGTCATGTGAAGGAGAGATGCCTTTTTCTTACATGGGGAAAAAAAAAGTTGCTTTATAGACAGGCTACTATTTTCCCTCTACAAGTTAGCGAGAAAATGAATTATGAAAGACGTAATGATGGCATCAGGTTTTGGATTGTCTTTCCTGTGCTTGTTTTGTGTGAGTCAGGGTTTTGGTGGGTAAGACAAGTTCCCTTTTTGGAGGAAGAATGTAGTCATCTTTAATCTGCCCAATTTCCTAATCACTCTATTTATGTTCTGCAGTGAGTTTTGAAGGATGCACTGGCCGACCAAGGACAGTTTATTATTCAGATGACACCCGATTCAAAGTGGCCACAGATGGTGTTGTCACAGTCAAACGACCCCTACAACTTCATAATCCAGAAATCAGCTTTCTGGTCCATGCCTGGGATTCCACCCGCAGGAAGTTCTCCACTAAAGTGACACTGAAGATCCCTGCGCACCACCACCACCAACGGCAGCATGTATGTTTGAATGTTTCCTGGAAGTTCACTATATTTGTGTTCTGTCTAGTTAAGGTTCCTTAACTCTAGTACTTTCGATATTTTGGGTCAGGTAATTCTTTGTTTTGTGTGTTTATTTTAGGATATGTGTGTGTACAGTAGGGCCATGATGGGTGGCATCCTATGCACTATAGGATATTTAACAGTGTCCGTTGCCTCTATTAGAGGCAACTCTAGTAGCAACTCCCCTTGTGACAACCAGAATATGTCTTCACACACTTTGCAACTATCCCTTAGAGAACCAAATTGCCCTTAACTGCCATCTAACTGAACTAATTCTTGCTGTTATTTTTGGTGGTGGTGATGGCTGTGAACCATAAGTTCAATAGTTAAAGCCCACCAACTGCTCCTCAGAAACCCTATACAAGGTCACTATGAGTCAGAAGTTGACTCTACGGCACTTATTAACAACAGAAGAATGTTGTTGTTGTTGTTGTTATGTGCCATGGAGTCGGTTCCGACTCATAGTGACCCTGTACAGGGTTTCCTAGGCTGTGAATCTTTATGGGAGCAGAAAGCCTCATCTTTCTCCCGTGGAACAGCTGGTAGTTTCGAACTGCTGACCTTGCGGTTCACAGCCCGATTCGTAACCACTACACTACCAGAGAAGAATAGTGGATGATTATGTGATTCACAGCCCTGTCATATACCTTCAGAGGCAAGTTGCTGATGCTGTCTGTGTTTCAGTTTCCTCATCAGTGGAGATGTAAAGAGGACTCTGAATTGTATCCAAAATACTTAGAACTGTACTAGAGCCAAATGTATGTTGTGTTCAGTAACTATTAACTGTTCTGCTAAAGGAATAGAATGTTTCTCATGGGAAAGGTCTTAGCAAAGAAGAGGGAAACCTACAGGAAGATTTTGCACTTTTGGGCTCTGGCTTCCGTGAGAGTTAGAGCCCAAAAGTTTGCAGTGCCAGGGCCTACATCTTACATATAGCAAGATTCTAGTAAATGTTGACCAACACAAATGGATTGATTGGATTGGATTGACCATGAATGGGAGGGTGCCCAGCTGCCTTAGGTTCTTGGCAAGAACATTCTTGGGGGTTGTTAACCAAAGCCAAATGCCTTTGGTTGTTTCTCAACTACTCCCAGGGATAAAAGGCATCTTCCTTCCCTGTCATTTCATATCAAAATGTCTCTCTGGTGGCCGTTCTAGTTGTATCCTGTTTATTGGATTGAAAGTATGGGATGTGTTTCAAGTACCAAAGGCCATTCAGCCTGTCTTCTATTTGTTTCCCCAAAGACGCTCGAAATCCTAAGACTCTAATACACCTCCTGATAGATCCAGTGTTTCCTGGGGTAAATGGCTATACCAGAAAAGTAAAGGAACTTAGTAGAACTATGTTATCAGAACTCCCTGAGTCAAATCTCCAATTGACCCCATCATTCATGTAAGAAGTTCAGCATAGTAGGTTCTTGTAGGGCAGCTCTTAATGGTCGAGAGAAAGCTTTAACCCTGATTCTTCAACTTTCTCTCCTGACTTCTTCCAACTTTGCCTCCATGTCTGATGTATCAGGAATAGTTTCAAGTAGATATTATAGAAAACCCCAAATAATAGTGACTTAAGCAAAGTAAAGTGCTCTTATTTTCAGCTAGGATGTCCAAGAGTAATAAGGTGCTATATATACAATATGGAAAGGAGCCCATGTGGCATAGTGGATTACATGTTGGGCTGGTAACCATAAGATCAGCAGTTCAAATCTACTAGTCTCTCCCCAGGAGAATGATGAACCTTTCTGCTTCTGTAAAGATATACAGCCAAGGGCACTTAACAGCACCTGATAACAGGCCAGTGTGGAGACTGATGCCACAATTATCAAGAACCCAGACGCCTTTCCTTTCTGTTCTGACATGTTTAGCACACAGCTTCCATCTTCAAAGAGATCATCCAAAATGGCTGCTGGAGTATTTGTTGTTAAGTTCTGATTCATAGCGACCCTGTATAGGGTTTCCAAGGAGCTGTTGGTGGGCTTAAACCCTTAGTTAGTTGTTATTGTTGATAAATACCATTGAGTTGACTCTGACTCATAGCCACCCAAGGAGCAGCAGTTCATACAGCACCCTATTAGGAGTCCATTCATCCTTATTATCACTCTGAAAATATTTTATAACTTGTTCCTGTTCCAAGATCAAATCCCAAATTTGACTTCATTAAAAGCATATCACCATTGTAGACATTTAGGGAATCTAAGAAACCTGTCCAGAATGTGGAGGTGTCACAGTCAGCATACAAAGCCAGGCAGCCTGGTTCCAGAGCATGCCCTTGACCCAAATAGGACTACCTCTCTAGGAGACTGGCACAAGGGCACATAGAACAGTGAGTGAGTCTTATGCAGAATTGGTGGAGGGCTCTGTGAGAACTATATCTAGTCACATCTTATCTCTTGTGTATTTGGAGTCAAATTAAAAAACAAAACAAAGCAAAAACCAGGACATTGGGCTTTCATTGAACTTGGTAAACAGTGATCAATGACTATGAGTGAGGTAATATTTGGAAGATGGGAGATGGAATTATATCCTTTGGCACCTTTACCTACCGTGTTACTGCTAATCACTTTAAAACACTTAAACAATTTGGAAGATGTTTTTCTTCCATCTTCAACTATCTTATTTCCCTGTGTATGCATAACGTTATCTTTATTGCACATGAAAACTGTTCAATACAAGTCTCAAAGGGTACTTTTGGTTTCTATCCCAACAGCTTCTGTTAAAACAAATGGAAGGTATATAGATAGAATGATACAGTGAGATGAAGGAGTTTGTATTGATCACATATTTTTTACTTTCCCAAACTTACTCATTTTGATGGAGAGTGCCACTCTCAGGACTTGTGACCCTAGGAAACTGTTAAAAATGGAAAAATAAATCCAAGCATATGAATTTCCAGCTGTTCCATAATCTCTGATATTAAATCATCAGTGCATAATGTTGCTATTTAAAATAAGAGTGATGTGTAGACTTGAAATAACTTTAAAATACAATGAATTATTACACCTATGTGATTAATGATTCCTTGAACCCTGTGTCTATGAAGAGTTAAAAGAATCTGATTTTTATTATATGGCAAAGGGGTTTATTGAGTTTTGGTTTTGCTGTTCATTTTGGAGAGTATATGTAATTTTTCCTTAACAAGAGATTATGGTTCAACCATACACTGTGCTCAGAAAGCTGAAGACACTGACTAAAGGTTGGACTATTGGCCTGAAAAATTCTCTTGAAAAATGATTTGTTTTCCTTCTCTTTTCCTTTTAGGACTCTATCTCTGGACCCCAAACAGAAGTGCGCATGTTTCCCAACTTCCACCATGGGGGCCTCCGAAGACAGAAGAGAGACTGGGTTATCCCTCCTATCAGCTGCCCAGAAAATGAAAAGGGCCCATTTCCTAAACAGCTGGTTCGGGTAGGTAAAGACATTTTCTGTATGTCTGAGGGGTGGAATTTGGAAGAACGGAGAAAGTAGCTAAGACCCAATGCCAGGATCCCTCCTTATTAATTCTGTTTCTTTCTGTTGTTTTCTTCAGATCAAATCTAGCAGAGACAAAGAAGTTGAGGTTTTCTATAGCATCACTGGTGAAGGAGCTGACAAACCTCCTGTTGGCGTGTTTATTATTGAAAGAAAAACAGGATGGCTTATGGTGACCCAGCCTCTGGATAGAGAGCACATTGCCAATTACACTGTGAGTATGTGCTGGTGGTGATTGTGTGCCATGGAGTCGGTTCCCACTCATAGCGACCCTGTATAGGACTTCCAAGGCTGTAAATCTTTACGGGAGCAGAAAGCCTCATCTCTCTCCCATGGAGCAGCTAGTAGATCTGCGGTTAGTAGCCCAACTCCTAATCTGCTATGCTACCAGGAATCCTTGTGCATGTATCTCAGGGGCTTGTTAATAATGGGTACCATCCTCCAAAATAAGGTTTGTGTTTGAATTCTTCCAAGAATTTTTGGTTCCTCCATTTTGAATCCATAGATAGTGTATCTGGGACCTGTTGGAAGCTTCATTTGGCATCTCTTGACCTGTTAAAGAAAAATTACAGGAGAACCTTGGACACTTTGGAGTTCTTAATCTTTTCCTTATCAGGAGAAAAGAGCAAAGTCCTCATGCATCATGTATACAAATGAATGCTGTTTTGACACCAAATACCAGTTTATTTATGGAACTGGAAGTCTCCGACCCAAATGATGAGCTCAGTGATGGAACTGGGAAGCAAAAACTATTTCTGGAACTTGGTAGCAGCATGAGCTTAGAGAAGCTGTTGGCTATAGAAAAGTCCAGGGAACACTAGACTAGAGTGGCTCGATAGAGCAAATTTTACCCTCTTGAAGGAAATCAGAGTTTCTTAGACATTCACCATTAAGTCCTTGACTTCCCAGCTTTCACATGAGAGATGGGAGGTCTGACCTGGAGGTTCTGCAGCCCACCTCAGTCGGTGTCACAACCTCATCAAAGAAGCAGCACACGCATGAGAAATGTTCCATGCTGGGGTGTCCACACTTAGACCTCAGAGAGTGAGCAGAAGTGGAGAATCAGGTGTTCTGGGTGTCCACTGTGCTCTGGCCAGACCCCATCTCTTTGCCTCTTCTTTTATTGTCAGGACCCAAGTAACTCTTCCTTGGTTCTTGCAGCTCTTTTCTCATGCTGTGTCTTCGAATGGAGCGTCAGTTGAAGACCCAATGGAGATTGTGATTAAGGTGACAGATCAGAACGACAATAAGCCCATATTCACCCAGCAGGTCTTTGAAGGGTCTGTTGTGGAAGGCGCTGTCCCAGGTATTCCCACTAATGAGCTGAAAGCCTTGGGGTAAAAAAACAGGGTTAGCCTTGTAGATTGGCCTCAGGTCACTGAAGTTGCTGCTTAAAGACCTACTTTGGAAGTCCCAGAGTAAAGTGTGTGAATGTGTATGTATGTGTGTGTATATGTGTGATGTCCTTTCTATGGAAGCATGTATAGAGAAGAAATAAGTTTAAGAACAGCGTTTCCTGATGACAAAGCAAATCCGGGCCCAGTACCTTAAGCCTCTTACAGCCTTCACTGATCACGTTCTTCCCTTTCTCCCAAAGAGGTAATCATTGTTCTAACTTCTGTGGTATTAATTTCCTCTCTTTTCTTTTTTTAAAAATACATACTATGTATGTATTTATCACTAGATAATATCCTACTACTTTAGTCTTTTTTTCAGACTTGAAATACATGGAATTATACTATTGTATATGTCTATAAATTCATTCAACTTTTTATACGTACATCATTCACTTTTATTGGTGTGTAGTATAAAGCATATTTTTATACCTGTAGAAACCCATTTAAAATGTTTATATGAAATCAGTGTATCCATCCCACCGATGATGAAAATAGTTTCTTACTATTATGAACAGTGCTTTAAGAGTATTCTTTTGAAATATGTCTCCTGGTGCAAATGTTTCTCCAGCATATATATCTAGAAGCAGATTCCTCAGTTACAGGTTATGTGTGTGTTCAACTTTACTAATGGTGGTGGTGATGGAACTAAACTACTTTCTAAGCTGGCTAAACCAATTTACACTCCCACCAGCAATATAGTAGCCTTCTCCTTGATCAACATCCTGGAATTATTAGACTTGTTTTTTTAATCATTCTAGTAAATATAATAACATCTCAATGAAATACCAAATTTGCCTTTCCCTGATTATTCATGATACATTTAGTGTGACCATTTGGGTTTCTTCTTTTAGGGCATGTATGTATATAAATATATAATGTATATGTATATATATAATATATACATATTTTTAAATTTCTGCTGGGCTGTTTTTACCCATTGGTTCTGAAGAACTATTTCGAGGTTCTTGGTATTTGTCCTTTGTTAAGCATATGTGTTATAAATATTTTCTTCCATCTTAAAACCAAGGATTTCAAATAGTGTTTTTTTTTTCTAATGAAGCTGTGACTAAGATGATGCCCACTCTTGGAAAATCCCAGGATTTTTCTTATTTCACATGCTCTTCACTCAGTATAAGGGATTTGAATCCCATAGGTCTCCTAACCTCTATTCCACACAAAGTTTGTTAGACAAATTTCATTCTAGTAACACTGCTTATTGATGAAATACTTAGTATCTTGGTAAAAATTTTTAGAAATTATACAAAAGACCTATGACAAGGTACCATCCCAGCCTCTCCTTTATCACTCAGGACAGAATTAGAGCAGTATTGATCAGATCCCAAAGTGCATCATGACTCAGTCTCTCCACTGACTTTTCCAGGAACCTCCGTGATGCAGGTCACAGCTACAGATGCAGATGATGACGTGAATACTTTCAACGCTGCCATCCAGTATAGCATTGAAAACCAAGAGCCTACACTGCCTTATGACAGCATGTTCAGCATCAACCCGGACACAGGAGTCATTGGCGTGATCGCTACTGGACTGGACCGAGAGGTTGGATCAGAAAGATCAAGAAAGAATGCTGAGGGAAAATATAGATTAACCAATCCCATGGACTGTGCAAAGCTCTGCTGAGGCCAGTTCATGGAGTGATGGTCTGCAATGATCAAATTAAAGAGTAGTTGTCCTGAGTTTTGCATCGAAACATCTATTCAGAGGTTGTGTGTCTGGAAAGCAGGTGGATGACACTTAAGCAGATGATAAAATATGGTTCTATAAGATGAGCTGGGCTGGGTCGGGCTGGGCTGGGCCAGGCTGGGCTGGGCCAGGCCTTAAGGGGCAGTTGGTCCTAACTTGGATATGTTTAATTTGCAGAGTGTTCCCAAGTATACACTGGTGGTTAAAGCTACTGACCTTCAAGGTACTGGCTTAAGCACATCAGCAACAGCTGTGATCACAGTCACTGACTCCAACGACAATGCTCCCATCTTCAATCCAACCATGGTAATTCTACAATTTCTCATATGGTTTCCAAAAATAGGTCTCTTGTCCATGAAATAAATTTCACAAATGCTTATGGGTGACCTATTGAATGTTAACTTTAGATTTACAAGCAACCATAACAGGGTGGTGGATGATACCTTGTAACATCTTTGCTCTTTCCTTGTCCTGAGGTTCATTGGCACAGGTAAGTATGAGAGACGAAGTCTGGACATCCTGGCTTCCAGGGAGCCACTCTGGCTGTAGTTCTTCCAACACAGATCTGTTTGTTCTTGGCAGTCCCTGGTACTTTAAATATTCTCCTCCAACACCATGACTCAAGTACATCAATTTTTCTACAGTTTTCTTTATTCACTGTCCAACTTTCGCATGCATATGAGGTTATTGAAAATCCCATGGCTTGCATCAGGTGCACCTTAGTCCTCAAACTGTCATCTTTGCTCTTCAACACTTTAAAAGAGGTCTTGTGCATTAGATTGTTTTGGCTAGAGATTGGCCTAATGGTTAATAACAGATCTAACTATGTGGTCTAACGGTTGTCATTGTTAGGTGCCATCAAGTCTGTTCCAACTCACAGAGACCCTATGCACAACAAAATACTTCCTGGTACTGCAGTATCCCCACAATTGTTATTTTGTGTGAGCCCATTTTTGTAGCTACTGTTAGGGCCTTCCTCTTTTTTGCTGATTATCCTCTACCTTACCAAGTATGTTATCCTTCTCCAGGGACTGTCCTTCCTGATATCACGTCCAAATGATGTGTGACAGAGTGTCACCATCCATGCTTCTCTGCAGTATTTCTGGCTGTACTGCTTCCCAGGCAAATTTGTTTGTTTTACTGGCAGTTCATTGTACTTTGACTATGTATAAGGCATCAGTTCTTTGGTCTTATTCATTGTCCAGCTTTCACATGCATGTGAGTCTTGGGTCAGGTGCTTCTTAGTACTAACACTAATCTTTGCCTTTTGTAGCAGATTGCCCAATGCAGTAAATACATTGTTTGATTTCTTGATTATTACTTCCATGAGCATTGATAATGGATCCAAGTAAAATGAAATCCTTGACAACGTCAATCTTTTTTCCATTTATTGTGATGATGTTTATTGGCTTAATAGTTAGTCACAGCGATTTGCTTATTGTGGTCTAAATAAATAGGGTGCTTTTTTTTTTTAATGTAACGAAAAGTCCAGAAGTAGGCATTCATCCCACATCAACTGAGACTAAGACTCCTTTGTCTTGCTCTTACACCATCTGTAGTCCATGACTTCCATCCTCGAGGTGACCTTGTAGTCTAGGATAGTTGCTGGAGCTCAGGTCATTAAGTCTGTGGTTCATGTAGGAAGGCTACAAGGGGTAAAAGGCAAAACTGCTAAGTTAGATCTTCTTAATAAAGACATTTCTTTGAAGACCCATCCTAGAAGTTTTACCTATAACCTATTTACAACTGCTTTCTATAAGGAAGACTTGGATCTGTTGTATTTTAGCTGAGCATATTGTTGTCAAGGAAGGGAAGAATGGCTCTTCAGTGACTACCTTCCTAAAACAGTCACTCTGCTTCTCAAAGTGCTTCCCAAAACAGTGAGTGACCTTTACACTCGGGCAAAGGTGGGAAAGGAAAAAGTAAAAAAAGATTGTAGCCAGAGGGATCAGTATGTGCAAAATTCCCTAAATCAAGAGAAAGTTAGTTGAACAAGAAGAGCTGGAAAACATTCAGTGTGATTAGAGTGTAGTGAACTGAGTGGCTGGGGTAACAATTTTAGAATTAATCCTGAATGCAAGAAGAAACCATCAGCAGAACGAGATGGACCTGTCTTTCATTTTATGAAAGTCACTCCTGCTGCTGATAGAAGAGGTTGCTGGGGAAGATGAGGATACACTAGTATATTATGCCTGGCAGTTAGAAATTACATTAAAATGTGATGAGGGCATGAAGGAAGGTAGAATCTCCACTGAGTAGTATCCAATCTGGCTAGGTGGGGCTGATAAAATGAAATGTGGATGTGTCTCTTGTGATACAATAGTGAATAATTGTTATCAGGACTGATTATGAGGGTTGGAAATGTAAAGGTAGATGTTTTGTAGCAAAGATGGGAGTGATTAACTTTGCAGTCTAGGAGCAGAGATCCCTGGGACCATCAAGGGAGAAGAGCGGGATGCGGGACCCTACCCAGAGAAGCAGTGATGCCTGAGATGGAGGAAGAGACGATGACATGGAGAGATGGAGCAGTTGGGGACTTTAGACCCAGAGAGGGAGAGGGGCTGTGTGCTGATGACTGGGGGGCAGGCTTGCAGGGTGTACCCTGTGGTAGGGTGATGATGCATGGAGGGGATTGTAACCATGGCAATGAAACGATATAGGGTAGGATGAATGTAAAACTAATGTTCTCCCATGTAAACGATCACATAATTCACAATAAAACATTAATAAATGAATAAATAAGTGTGATGAGGGGTTCAAGGGAGCCAGCTACTCCTGGAGGATGACACCACTGTCATCATCAGTTCTTCACCAATAGAAAAGGAGGATCAGTTTGTAGCGGGAGCACTTCCTTCAAGACTTGGTTCCCATTGCTTGAAGTTTCCCTGTCATCTCCCTAAGGCTTGGGATCAGGAAGGAGTCCTTTAATCCCCTAAGACCTGACCCCACTGTCAAATCTCAGTATATCATAAATGACTCCCATTTTCTCCTTTGTTTTGCAGTACGTAGGTAAGGTTCCTGAGAACGAGGCTGATAAGACAATTACCACCCTCACGGTGACTGATGCTGACGTCCCCAACACCCCAGCATGGGAAGCCAAGTATTATGTAGTAAATGATCAGGAGAAGCAATTCGTTGTCATCACAGATCCAGTAACTAACGAAGGCATTTTGAAAACAGCTAAGGTTTGTATAGTTCCTAGAAAGAGGCAGAAGCAGATAATGTAGTTAGATGTCCATTCCTGTGTCTCCCTGGAAGTACTAGGGGAGGGGGAAATGGCTTTCCTAGATTCTGGTGGACTCTGTGGGGTATACAGTGACTCTTAGTGCACATGTAAGAAATAAGGAAGTTGTGCCGCAACATACTAAGATTGAGGAGGAAGCACCATCTTTTTAATAGTTTTTTTCCCCCTAAGCATTGCCTAACCCCCACATCTACTTGCAAATGAAAAGAAGATTGCTTCTTTTGTCTCTGGTATTTTGCACTGGTAGAATAGTGTTTATTAGACAGGCTGCTAACTTCAAGGTCATCAGTTTGAAGCTAGCAGTTGTTCCACAGAAGAAAGGTGAGGCTTTCTGTTCCTGTAAAGATTTACAGCCTTGGAAACCCTATTCAGGATTGCTATGAGTCGGAACCGGCTCCATGGCATGTTAATACAACCACCACCACCATATTCAAAATGGGGTAAATCTCACTGCTTTTGAAATATTCCTTGGAAAGTTGAAAACTGAGAGTTTGGGTGAGTTGTTTTTTTGACATCTACTTGTCAAATACTTAAAGAGATGAGATTCTTGGGTTCTTCCCAGCGGTTTGACTTCTTTTTGAGCAAGTGATGAGAATTTTATTTCTGAACTAATGAGAATACATCAACATTTTCTCTTTTCATTGTGATTATCAACAGAAGAAAGAAGCTAATAATTTGAATTTCTACCATAGGCAAGGTGCTTCACTAAAGTTCCTGTTTAATTGAGTAGCAATCTGATAAATCCCCCCCCCCATTTATTTTGGTGCAGAAATAGGTTCACAAGTAAAGTTGCGTAGATTGTTCTTGCTGCCAAACCTAGTCAGTGTGATAAGTCGGCTCTTCTGTTCATCTGTTGGTGGTAAAGTTGTCATATGAACACTCCGATCAGTATTGGATAATGAGCTTATGTTTGTTAACCAAAGTTTGCCATTCAATATTTCACATGCAGTTCTTCTTTACATTTATTCTTACTGTCTCTCAACTGCTGATGAGTCAACCCCATATATAAGATTGAACCTTGTTATCTAAAATTTTCATTAGCTGGGTTTTTGTTTGTTTTGTTTTTCGGAAACAAGCTACCCGGCTTTCCTAGTTTCAGCGGGTCTGGAAACGGCAATGAAAAATGTTCAGAATCTTAGCAAAATGCAAGTTTCCGCTAGCAATGCTTAAGGTGCATTGGCTGGAAATTTAACCCAGGTTTCCCACAGGTAAGGTGAGAATTCTGTTGAATAACAACAACAGAGTTAGGGCCTAGGTGTTGATATTCTTCAAAAGTTCCCAGTTATTCTTGTTAATGCAGCCACATTTGAGATCTGCTGATATATCCTGAACTATTTTAGGGTTCTTTAGAGAAACTGAACCTACAAACACACACACTCATACACCCATTTATTTTAAAGCGTTATCTCACATGCATATTTATTTTCAGGAATTGGCTCACGTGATTGTGGATGTTTGCAAGTTCCAAATCTATAGGCAAGGCAGGCTGGAAACTCTAGCAAGATATCTATGTTATAGTCTTGAAACAGAAACTTTTTTCTTTTCTGGAAACCCCAGGGTTTACTATTAAGGCCTTCAACCAACTGGATGAGGCCCATCCACATTATGAAGCACCTTGCATATGGTAGAAACTCAAACTATTAGCTTCTTTCTTCTGGTGATAAACAGAATAAAAAGAGAAAACATTGACATCAAATGTTGAAGTATTCCCTTTAGTTAGTTCAGAAATAAAGTCTCGTCTCTTGCTCAAAAGGAAGCCAAAGTTCTGGAAAGAACCCAGACTGTAAATGTCAATTGATTATAAATGTTGTTAAGTGCTGTCAAGTCAGTTTCCAACTCATATCGACCGTGTATAGGATTTCTAAGGAACAGCTTGGTGGATTTGAATTGTTAACCTTGTGGTTCACAGTCTCATCCTGCAGTGCCATGTTGTTATTGTTGTTAAGTGGCGTCGTGTCGGTTCTGACCTTGTATAGGGTTTCCCAGGTTTGACTGGTAAGCTTGAAACACCGGCCTTGCTGTTCAAACCGGCATTGCAGCCCAGCGCAATAACCCACAGCGCTACATGTAGTAGTTAGGAATTTAATTTAAAAAATATAATAAAGCGTATCCTCTTTTCCCCATTTTTCTGTACTCTAGGGCTTAGATTTTGAGGCCAAGCAGCAGTACATTCTATACGTGGCAGTGGAGAATGTGTCCCCCTTTGTGGTCACTCTTCCCACCTCCACAGCCACGGTGACTGTAGACGTGCTAGATGTGAATGAAGCGCCTATTTTCATGCCTGCTGTCAAGAGAGTGGAAGTGCCTGAAGATTTTGGTGTGGGCCGGGAAATTGCATCTTACACTGCCCGGGAACCAGACACGTTTATGAATCAGAAGATAACGTAAGTGTTTTCTGTACAAGTTACGACTGTTTCCTTTTTTTCTCCTTTGCATTAAGAACAGACACAGTAAAACGTACACCAGCTCAACAGCTTGTACACATACAATTGAGTAGCGATATCAATTACATTCTTGGAGTTGTACAACCATTCTTACCCTCTTTTCCTGGGTTCCTCCCCCTTTACACATTCATAAACTCACTGCCCACTGAAGTTCCTATCTGTTTGAGTTGGTGCTCTCAATTTGGTCCCATATAAATAGCTCTTAAAAGAGACTAATGCTTTACGGTAGGCAGTTTCTACTAGTTAAATGGAAACTATTTTCAGTTTTGAGAATTCATTGGCTGGACCAAGAGGCACTCAGATCCTTGGCCTGCCTATGGCATGACTGAAAAGAGTCTACCTTGATCGTACCTTGATTGAAGAGTGTTCCTGAACCTAAATTGTAACCTGATATTTTAAAAATAATTTAGTATACCCCATAACTGCATGATATTGAGGAGAGAGAGGATGACTTCAGGGGATATCTTTGGTTTAAGGTTTAAATATTGTCTCAGAGCAGTAGTTTTAGGCTTATCCACTCTCCATGGCTCCAGAAAGTCTATAGAGTTCGTGAGAGTTTGAAATTCTGTTCTGTATTTCCCTCCTTATGATCTGGATTCTTCTGTGGAATCTTTGATCAAAATGCTCTTTAATGGTAGTTAGGCACCATCCAGTTTTTTTTTGGTCTCATGGCAAGGACACAGTTGTTCAGGGAACCAATTAGCCACATATTCGATATCCTCCTCATATTCCTGACTCTTTCTTTCTTTGTTGCTCCAGGTGAGTAGAGACAAATTGTTGTGCCTTAGCTGGCTGCTTATAAGATTTTTTGGTTTTCTGTTGTTTTTTGGGGGGGTTGGGGGGTTGGGGGGAGGGTCATCTCTCTCTCTCTTTTTTTTTCTTTAATGTTTTTATTGTGAATTGAGTGATAGTTTACACAGGAGAACATCGGTTTTACACTCATTGTTTTATTTCAATGATTATAATTTCCTCTGTACAATATTTGCTTGTATTCCCTCTGTTGTTTTTTTATGGGGGGAGGTATACACAAAAACACTCAGGAATATATAATAATTTAAACAACCAAAGGGCACATTCTGTAAGCCTGCCTCCTGACCACCAGTACACAGCCTTTCTCTTTCTCTCTATGTTCTCATCTCTGCCTCCATCTCTGGTGTTGCTGCTTCTCTGGATAGGGTCCCACATTCCACTCGTGCTCTTCTCCCTAGATTGTCCTAGGGTTCTCTGTTCTGCTTGTAAGTTTTTAAGGCTTCAGGCACTACACTGTGAAGTAGGATGTAGAACAGAAATATTAAACATACTGGTAGGCCAGTCAAATGGGATTTCGCCTAAATACATGACTCTAACCTAAAAATCAAGGAACCAAATCTAATGGGGTGCTTGGTTGTACATAAACAGCCTCAGCAGCTACTCTTTTTTGTTTTTTCCTGGTTGTAAATATATTTGTTATAAAAATATTGAAGAAATTGGTAGAATTCTTCTTTCATCCTCACTGGCTTTAGTGGTTGGTGCGTAAATTCGAAAAATAGTGGTATTAACTGGGCTTCTCTGTAGGCACATGGATATTATCCTATCACAGACAGCGTTGTACCTCATGACTGACCTGGATATGTTCTTTTTGACAACGAATGCAACACCCTCTGTATAGAGGAAGCAAACTTGTCAAAATGTTGAGAATGAATGAATCTGGATGAAACATTTGTGCTCTTCTGACAAGTTTTCTTATAAGTTTAATAATTTTCAGAATAAAAAGTTAAAACATAGATAGAAAAATGAGAAGTGACTGTAGTGTTTCTCTGCTCTATCATGTTTGCAATTCCTATTCTTAAGCCAGAATTTGTGTCTTTTCAGGTATCGGATTTGGAGAGACGCTGCTGACTGGCTGGCGATTGATTCGGAGACCGGGGCCATTACCACTCGGGCTGAGTTAGACAGAGAGGACGTGGACCATGTGAAGAACAGCACATACACAGCCCTCATCATAGCTTTTGATGATGGTAAGGAAACCTCACTTGGTTCTTTGCTGCGTCATCCTACAGACTGACATGCCTCCATGCTCTCCACCCTTGTTTTATATTTATGACTTCATTCCTTTTCCTTTGTTCTTATTTAAGCAAAAGACACACCAATACATTCTCATTGTCTAAAATTCAAACAATTTGTTCCTATTAACCACTCTACATTGGAACCAGGCTACCTGAATTCATATTCCAAGTCCAAGTTGAACACTTCTGTAGCATTGGACTTACTAAATTTTTATGTCTTTCAGTTCTTTTTTACCTGATAAATTGGGGTGACACTGAGACACCTTCTAGGTTAATTTATCTGAAAATGCCTGGAATAGTATCTGCCAAACAGAGCATGCTGTATTAAGTACTACCACTTATCTGTCAGTTTGTCATACTGTGGTGGCTTGTATGTTCCTGTGATTCTGGAAGCTCTACCATGGTTTTAAATACCAGCAGAATCACCCATGGTGGATAGGTTTCAAGTAAGCTTCCAGATGAAGTCAGAATACGAAGGAGAGATGGACACTATCAAATATTTAGTCACTGAAAGTCTTGAGAATAGCAGTGGAATTCTTATTTAATGTTGAAATATGATTTAAAACACCAAAATATTGTCAAATATAGTGCCAGAAGATGAACCCCTCAGATTGGAAGACACTTAAAAACGTTGCCTCTTCAATGTAGAGTTGACTATGATTACATAAATGGAGTAAAGCCCTTGGGACCTTCATTTGCTGATGGGGCAGAACTCAAAATGAAAAGAAACAGTTGTTTCCATTAATAATTGGAACATGGAATATATGAATTAAGAATCTATGAAAATTGTAAGTTGTCAAAAATGAAATGGAACACATTAGTGAGCTGAAATGGACTAGTATTGGCCATTTTGAATCTGACAATCACATGATTTACTATGCTGGGAATGACAAATTGAAAAGGAATGGTGTTTCATTCAACATCAAAAAGAACACATCAAAATATGTATTTAAGTACAGTGCTGTCTGTGATAGCATAATATCCATATGTCTACAATAAAGACCAATTAATACCACTATTATTCAAATTTATGTCTCAACCACTAAAGCCAGTGATGATGATATTAAAGAATTCTACTAACTTATTTGGTCTGAAATTGATCAAATATGCAATCATGGTGTATTGATAATTACAGGCGATTGGATTGCAAAAATTGGAAACAAAGAGAAAGGATCAATAGTTGGAAAATAATGGCCTAGGTGATAAAAATTATGATGGAGATCACATGATAGAATTTCCCCCCGCCCCCAAGTTTTTATTGCGAATTGAGTGATAGTTTACATGGGAGAATATTAGTCTTACACTCATCATTTCATTGTAATGATTACAATCTTTGTGTGTTATTATTCAATATTATTTGCTTCCATTCCCTCTTTTTTTTGGTGATGGTGTTTTTTAAATTTTGTTTTGTTTGTTTTTTGGGAGGAGGGGTGCACACAAAAACACTCAGGAATATGTAATCATTTAAACAACTAAAGGACACATTATGTAACCTTGCCTCCTGGCTGCCAGCACTCAGTCTTTCTCTTTCTATAAGTCTAGAGTCCTCAGCTGCTCTCTCTCTCTCTCTCCATGTCCTCATCTCTGGTGTCACTGCCTCTCTGGATAGGGTCCACATTCCGCTTGTGATCTTCTCCTTTGATGGTCCTAGGGTCCTCTGCTCCTGGATCATAAGATTAACTACTTCCCCCTTTTGTTACAAAACTTCTACCTTTACAGTTGTGACAGTCACAATTAGTCATGATAACAGTTACTCACTATTGAATCATAAGAATCTTATCCCCTTCTCTTTTCACCAGACCCATCTAAGTAAGATGAAAACTATTCAGTTTTCATCTTACACTAAACCCCACATACTCTTACACTAAACTCCCTCTTGAAAACTTATAAACCAGTCATTTAGTGCCTTTATCATCACCTCATTTTAAGTAGCCAATGTCTAAGTTGCCCATCCCTATCAACCCTGTATACAGAGGGGATAGGAGTGATATTTGATGCGAAGACTCCTTCCTTCTCAGTTGGTATTTTTAGCTATTGTATTCATAAATATAGGTCAAATTCATCAAATTGTAGCAACTTACACTTGTTTCTTTTATCAAAAATTGTTGTGTTTAATATTCCTCTAGTTAAGGTCTGATCATCAAGGCTTGGTCAAATGGGTACTATCTGCAAGTTTGGTCATTCTTGGGCATCTCCCCTCACTACATATCAGCTGAATGCTTCACTCTCAGCTCTAGCCTTCTGTGGCTATGTCTTTGTTCATGGGCTCAGGAGTCCCAAGGTCCACATGATAGAATTTTATCAGATTAATAAATTCTGCATTGTGAATCTCTTTTTTCTTAAACAACATAAAAAAACAACTATATACATGAACCTCACTAGATGGAATATACAGAAATCAAACTGACTACATGTGTGCAAAGAGACAGTGAGAAAATTCCATAACATTAACCAATATAAGGCCAGGGGCAGACTGTGAAACAGACCATCAATTGCTCATGTGCAAATACAGGCTGAAGCTGAAAAAAATGAAAACAAGTCCACAAGAGCCAAAATATGACCTTGCATATATCCCACCTAAATTTAGAGATCATCTGAAGAGCAGCCTGACGACAAGAAGAGTTGTGAGATGACATCAAGAATTTCATACAGGAAAAAAGCAAAAAATCATTAAGAACACAAGAAAGAAGGAAAAGACCAAAATGGGTTTCAGAAGAGACTCTGAACCTTGTTTTCCAGCATAGAGATGCTAAAGCAAATGAAAGAAGTGAGGAGGTACAAGAGCTAAACAGAAAATTTCAAAGGTCAACTCGAGAAGACGGTATCAAATATTATAAGGAAATTTGCAAAGACCTGGAGTTAGAAAACTGAATGTCAACTTACAGTACTGAAGGATTCTATGGGTAAAATACTGAATAATGCAGAAAACATCAAAAGAAGATGTACCAAAAATAAAAACAGTCAATGTTCAACCATTTTAAGAAGTAGCATGAAATTAAGAGCCAATGATCCTGAAGAAAGAAGTCCATGGTGCATTGAAGGCATTGGCAAAGAACAAGGCGCTGGGAATTCGTGAAATACAAATAGAAATTTTTTGACAAACTGCGCCACTGGAGACACTTACTCATGTATGTCAAAAAATTTGGGAGACAACTACCTGGCCACCTGACTGGAAGAGATCTGCATTTGTACCCATCTCAAAGCAAGGTGACTCAATGGAATGCAGAAATCATTAGACAACATCATTGATAACCCCATGTGAGTATAGTTTTACTAAAGGTAATCCAAAAATGGTTGCAACCATACATTGACAGGGAACTTCCAGAGGTTCACGCCGGATACAGAAGAGGACATGGAATGAGGGATCTCATTGCTGACGTCAGATGGATCTTGGCTGAAAGTAGAAAATACCAGGAAGATGTTTACCTGCAAAGGCTTTCAATTTTGTGGATCATGACAAGCAATAGACAACAGTGCAAAGTATGAATATTTCAAAACATTAATTGTGCTCATGAAGAACCTGTGCATAGACTAAGAGGGAGTTGTTCAAGCAGAGCAAGTGAGCACTGAATGGTTTAATATTAGGAAAGGTGTGTGCCAGGGTTGTATTCTTTCACCATATTTATTCAATCTGTATGCTGAACAAATAATATGAGAAGTTGGATTAGAAGGGAAAATGTGGCATTAGGATTTAAGGAAGCCTCATTAACAACCTGCTATATGCAGTTTATACAACCTTGCTTGCTAAAAGAGAAAAGGACTTAAAATACTTACTGATGAAGATCAAGACCACAGTCTCCAGTATGGGTTGCACCTCAGTGTAAAGAAAATAAAAATACTCACCAATGGACCAATAAACAGCATCTACATAAATGGAAAAAAGATTGAAGTTGTCAAGACTTCATTTTCCTTAGATCAACCATCAACACACATGGAAGCAGTAGTCAAAAAACCAAACACTGTATTACATTACGCAAATTTGCTGCACAAGAGTGAAGGTGTCAGTATAAGGATTAAGGTGTGCCTGACCCGAGCCATGGTATTTTCAATAACCTCTTATGCATGCAACAGTTTGACAGTGAATAAGGAAGACTGAAGAAGAATTGCTGCATTTGAGTTATGGTGTTGGATGACAATGTTGAAAGTACCATGGACTGCCAGAAGAACAAGGAGATCTTTGATGGAGGAAGTACAGCCAGAGTGCTGTTTGGAACCGAGGATGGCCAAACGTCCCTCATACTTCGCTATACTATCAAGACTGACCAGTCACTGGAGAAGCATATCATGTTAGGTAAAGTAAAGTGTTGGGAAAGACCCTCAACGAGATGGATTGGCACAGCGGTGGCAGTGATGGGTTCAGGCAATTGTGAGGTTGGCCCAGGACAAGACAGTGTTTTGTCATGTTGTATATAGGGTCACTATGAACCAGTACCAACCTGACGGCACCTGACGACAACAACAACAACAACAACATATTAAGGGCTGTCTTTTCAATTATCATTATCATTATTAGTGAGATGTTGATTCTTCTAGTCTGTTTCTTATTTATTTATTTGAATACTTTATTGTGTTTTTTTTGTTTGTTTGTTTGTTTGTTTGTTTGTTTGTTTTTTAGTGTCTATTTTATAATGGTATGCCAGGGAAACCAAGATTCAAAAGACAGCCAACCATCTTAACATTTCCCCCCTTTTGCCCATTCCAACCCTGTCTCAATCCCTGTATCCCAGAGCCCTGTTGTTCCAAGGTTGTGCATACATCATTATTTACCTCTGTCCCACTTAGCCCATGCAAACCTGCCTAATTGTTCTCCCATCCTCCTTGTTCTTCCATTCCCCTCCCCCTTTTTGTGTATTGCCCCCCTCCCTAGCACCCAAACTATCCTGTGTCTATTCCCTACCCTGTGCTCCACCTTCCCCTCCCTCCCCTCCCTTCACCCCCCACATCCTGGTAACCAGCAAAGACTCCCCCTCCCCCCACTTTAGTATGGGTTCTTTTTCTTAGTCTTTTACAGTAGTGGTCCTATACAGTATTTCTCCTTTTGTGACTGACTAATTTCACTCATCATAATGTCCTCAAGGTTCATCCATGTTATGTGATAGCTTACAGCTTTATTGTGTTTTAAGTGAAAGTTTACACAGCAAAATATTTTCTTATATAGGTTTTTCTATGACATTGCTTGCTGTACCAGCAACGTGTTAGCATTCTCCACATTTCTACCCTGAATGCGCTGTTGCCATCTCTGCAGTTTACCAAACATGATATCCTTCTCCAGCGACTGGTCCCTACTGACAATATGTCCAAAGTATGAGAGATGAATGAAGTTTGGCTATCCAGCCTCCAAGGAGCACTCAGGTTGCACTTCTTCCAACACACAGATCTTTTGATTTTTTTTGGCAGCTCATGACACTTTCAATATTCTCCTCCAACACCATCGCTCAAAAGCATCAATTCTTCTATGGTCTTCTTTATTCACTGTCCAGCTTTCACATACATATTAAGTGATTGAAAATATCATGGCTTGAGTCAGGCGTACCTTAGTCCTCAAGCTGACATCTATACTCTTCAACACTTTAAAAAGTTCCTCTGCAGCAGATTTGCCTAATGCAATACGTTGTTTGATTTCTTGACTGCTGCTTTCATGAGTGTTGACAGTGGATTCAAGAAGAATGAAGTCCTTAACCACTTTAATCTTTTCTCCATTGATAAGAATGTTGTTTATTGGTCCAGTGGTGAGGATGTTTGTTTTCTTGACATTGAGATGCATGCATAGAGCAACACACATTTTTTGGTTGTTGAGATTGATTCTTCTGTTTCTTTTTTTCTCTAGTGATAGCTCCTTGGTATGGCTCCGTGGATCAGCACTGGACTGGGTTTCACAAGGTTAGCAGCACCCACCAGCTGCTCCTCGGAAACTCTATACAAAGTTGCTAATGAGTCAGAACCAACTCTGTGGCACTAACAACAACATGTTAATATTAGTGATGGTATTTCCTTGAGTATTTTTTTGCTATTACCATGTGATAGGTGCTACATTGAGATTTAAAAGAAATACAAACAGAAGTGTGTATGAACTTCCATATCTGTTTTTGACAAACAACTTGCATCCAGATAAATACCTCACATGTCATAGAAATGTGGAAAAAGGAGAACCAAAAAACACCGACACCATTGAATTGATTCCAACTCATTAGACAGTAGATCTACTCCTTAAGGTTTCCAAGTCTCATCTTTCGGCCACGTTGTGCTTGGTGGGAGCACACAAGCTCATCTTTCTCCCACATTGTGGTTGGTGTGTTTGAACCACCCATCTTGTGGTTAGCAGCCCAATGAGTAACCCACTGCACTACCAGGACTTCAGAGTAGCTTAAGTTTAATGGATGATTAAAAGTCAGCAGGAGGAGGAAGAAGGTGTCCTTGGTGTGACATCTTGGGAATAACATGAGTAAGGGGGTCATCAGTGTGGGAATGATTAAGCATGTTTACCTAAGACCCGATCCAATCTATGGCATTTTCAATTGCCTTATATGCATATGAATGCTGTACTATGAATAAGGAAGACCAGAAATGTAATTATACCTTTGAATTATGGTTTTGGTGAAGAATATTAAATAATTAAATTATATTAAATAATTCTGTCAGAAGAATGAGCAAATATGTCTTCGAAGAAATACAGCAAGAATACTCCTTAGAAGGGAGGATGAGGGAAATTCATCTAACATACTTGGAACATATTATTATCAGGGACCAGTGTCTGGAGCACACCTAATAAAGTCGAGAGTCATCAAAAAGGAGGAAGATCGTCAGCAAGAAGGATTGATAACAGTGGATACATAGCAATGGTTGTGAGGATGGTATAGGACCTGGCAGTGTTCTGTTCTGTTGTACATAGGGGTCACTATGAGTTCGAATTAGCTAGATGGTACCACCTGCCATCTAGATTCAACAATAACCCTGAAACTGTCAGAGACCTGCTCAGCTAAGGTCAGGAGGCTCCATCGGTGGGTTGGCTGAAAAGCCAGGATATGATTGGGCTCAAACTGATAGAAGATGATTGTTGTTAAATGCTGTTGAGTCAGTTCTGCCTCATAGTGATCCTGTATAGGGTTTCTGAGGAGCTACTGGTACATTTGAACTAGCAACCTTATGGTTAGTAGTCCAGTGCTTATCCTACAGCTCCATACCAGGATTCTGTAAATTAGGCAGTCATTATTCATGCTATGAGATTCTCCATGAAATTTCTTTTGTGGACAATCACTCCTACATGACTTACTTGTGTTTGATTCACACATTCAATGTCTCTACAACCTCTTCATTGATACAAGGTGGTGGAGATTAATTCATGTTCCTTAACTGTGACAATTCTTCTGTATTTTTCTCTTAGGTTCTCCAGTTGCTACTGGCACAGGAACTCTTCTCTTAACCCTCTCTGACGTGAATGACAATGGCCCCATACCAGACTCTCGAAATATGGACTTCTGTCAAAGGGACCCACAGCCTCATACCATAAAGATAATTGATCCAGATCTTCCTCCCAATACTTCTCCCTTCACAGCAGAATTAACGCATGGAGCAAGTGTGAATTGGTCCATTGAGTACAAAGATGCAGGTAGGTACTTCATTGTTAATTTTGGAAACTTTGTTTTGAATCCCATGCTTCCCCTTTCCTCTGTCAATTCTGAATTTTACCTCTCAACTGCCAAATGGTACTTGTTTCCTTTAATGCATTCCACCAAAGGTCCCTGTCCTTTGCTGTTGTTTGACTTTGTAATATACTACTCAGTAATCTAAAACCCATGGAACTTGCATTTTTTTATTCACTTTTGGCAAGAGTTCCATAATAGTCTTATTTCTGCTTTTTCTCCAGCGCGAGAATCTCTCCTTTTAAAGCCAAAAGTTCCTTTAGAGTTGGGTGACTACAAAATAAATCTCAAGCTCATGGATAACCAGAACAAAGACCAAGTGACCACCTTAGATATCCTTGTGTGTGACTGCAAAGGTGCTGTCAACAACTGTAAGAGGACTTCACCACTTGCCGAAGCAGGATTGCAAGTTCCTGCTATTCTGGGAATTCTTGGAGGAATCCTTGCTTTTTTAAGTAAGTACAGCTAGTAAATGTTTCAACCATTGACTTCTAAAATAGGCAAGATTATTTCCTATAAATGATTTTTTTCCCCTTTGTATTAGTTAGGATATAAGTTAAATAAAATAGAAGTTTTTGCTCCCTTTGAAGAGTTCAGAGGTAAGTGGTCTGAGACTGGGAAGGCAGCCTTTTTCCAGGAAGTTAAGAGAGAGCCTAGGTTCCTTCTCTTGCTCTTTCATCCCTCAGCAGAGTTTGAATATGCATACAAATTGCTTTTGCCACTCTAATCTAGTAGGTCTGGAGTAGGTCCTCAGATTTCAGCATTTCTAACCAGATCCCAGGTAATGCTCACATTGCTGATTCTTAGACCACAGTTGGAGCCGCAAGACCTTAGGGCTTTATCCTTCTCAGTAGAGTCAAAGTTTCTCACCACCACTTTCCCATTCCATCTTGGAGGGAGAGGAATGGTGGACAAAATGGAGGGCACATATCTGAAAGTTGCAAGTGTTACCTCCCACCATATCCCATGGGTCCCAGCCCAGACACATCTAGTTGCAAGGGAGTTTGGCAAAAGTAGTCTTCTAGTGGTCCATATGTCTGTCTGCCTCCATGACTTTATTTCTACTTCTGTCTTTCCTCAGTCACACCAACCACGCTCTTGTCTCAAGGCCTATGCCCTTACAGTTTCCCCTGACTGGAACACTTCCTGCAGATTTTGGGAAATTTAATGTGATTGGTTTATGATCCTGTCACAGGCCACATTTAAAATTACATAATAACTTGTATGTTGATCTTAGTGAGTCCAAGTAGTGTAGTGGTTAAAGCACTCATCTGCTAATCTAATAGCCGTTCAAACTCACCAAATGATCTGAGAGAGAAAGATACACAGTATCATGTGGACTGATTTCTAAAAGTGTTACAAAAAAGACAGCCAGTCTGTCTTTTGAACCTTGGTTTCCTGGTATACCGTTAAAAAATAAACAATTGAGGAGGAGAGAAGGAAATAGCCAGAAACATCACCATAGAAAGCTTGTAAGTCCATCTTTTGCCTATAACTGATTGGAATACCTAAAATGGAGCTACAATGTGCCCAGTGAAGGAGGATTCCTGCCGAGCCTCTGCATTACATAAGACCATAGGTAGAATCGTGAACCACATCCAGAATGTTCAGAGGTGGGAAATTTCCACTTGTAAGGACAAGCAGACCAGATTGGAGTAGCTAGAAGAACAGAAGACACTTCTTGAAAGAAAGACCAACAGGAAAAATACAAAACAATATAGGCAGTCCTACTGATTACTACAAGAACAAGCAAGTTTCTCGCCCTGGAGACATTAAGGCAAGTGGTCAGTTCCCCTCAGGGCAAACCCCCTTCCAAGACTAAGACTCAGTGGGAATACACACTCAGATTGGTGATCACATTCATCACAGATATGGGGAAATGAGGGAAAAACAGCAATGAAGCTGTGAGCTAAGCCCTACAACGTTCAATAGACTCCTGTGAACCCAGGTGGAGACCTGGTTGGCCAGCAGTGTTGGCAAGATCTGGATATTCTTGGGCCCAGAGTCAGTGACATAGCCACAGAGGACTAGAGTGGAGAGTGACACATCCAGCTGATAAGAAGAGAGGGTATATGCATAAGAACACCCACACTTACAGATAATACCCACTTGACCTGACTTCAATGACTGGATGATCAGAGCTCAACTAGAAGAAGAAAGGAGAGGGGAAAAAGAGAGTAATCGGATACAGTGGATTGAACTTGACCTATACCTATGGATGCAGTAGCTTAAAAGAGGGAACAAATCTTTACAGAAAGGATCATTCCCACCCCCTCCATACACACAGTAGACAGGGATGGGCAACTTGGACATTAAGTACCCAAAATGGGGGGGCTACAAAGGCAAGAAGTGACTGGGTTACAAGCTTTCAAGAGGGAGCCTAGATCCAGAGGGCGTGGAGGAAGGTAGACTCTCCACTGAGTAGTAGCCAATCTGTCTGGGCGGGGCTGATGAAAGGAGATGCGGATAAGTCTCTTGTGATACAATAGTGAATATTTGTTATCAGGACTGATTGTGAGGGTTGGAAATGTAAAGGAAGATGTTTTGTAGCAAAAGGAGGGAAGTGATTTACTTTGCAGTCTAGGAGCGGAGGTCCCTGGGACCATCAAGGGAGAAGAGTGGAGAATGGGACCCTACCCAGAGAAGCAGTGACATCAGAGATGGAGGCAGAGACTATGATGTGGAGAGATGGAGTGGCTGGGGACTTAAGACCAAGAGAGGGAAAGGGGCTGTGTGCTGATGACCCGGAGGCAGGCTTGCAGGGTATACATACCCTTTTGTTGGTTGATGATGCATGGAGGGAATTGTAACCATGGCAATGAAACAATATATGATAGGGTGAATGTAAAGCTAATGTTCTCCCATGTAAACTATCACATAATTCACAATAAAACATTAAAAAAAAAAAAAAAAAAAAGACAGCCAGTGGCCTTCTAGGAGACAGTGATGCACTATTGTCAGCTTCTTCTTGTGAACTTCTTTCCTATGGCTCTTCTCACTTTTTGCATTCTCTCTCCCACTCCAGTCCTGCTTCTGCTGCTCCTTCTGTTTGTTCAGAGAAAAAGAGTTGTCAAGGAGCCCTTACTGCCCCCTGAGGATGATACTCGGGACAATGTGTATTACTATGATGAAGAAGGAGGTGGAGAAGAGGACCAGGTGAGTTTTGAAAGCATAGTGAAAAACTTAATAGAAATCTTTATAAGTGGAAGAAGTGATGATGAAAATTCAGACATTTGGAATAGGTCTATGTCACTTATGTATTATATTTTTAAGGTCTAACCCAAGAAGATAGACATTGTCATTGACCATCAAACTCAGCATGATTACAGCTAATGTTTAACGATCACTTTTATTGAGCTGCACTCAGATGAGTAAACTGAGGCGCAGAGCAGTTAAATAAATTGTACAGGACTACACATTCTAGGAAGCTAGAATAGGTGGTCTGGCTTCAAAGCCTGCATAACTCATTTCTATTTTTTTTACCCCTCAGAAATGAACTTTAGTAAAATTATCTCTGATAAAATTTGTTTTCCCTGAGTGTCTTAGCTACACCAAACAGTTTTTTTGTGTTTGCTCTACTATTAATTTCCCCCTAATTTTAGCAATGATTATTACTTTGGAGTTTTCCAGGGAACTTTTGAGGATCTTAGAGATTTTCTTAATTAGAAAAGGAACCATGGGTCTTAGCATGGTCATACATTTGATTCAGGCCGCACATTGAGATACAATTTCTGAACTCTGATCTTGAAGAACCATTGATAAGAATTTCAGTGCTTGCTATATAGAGAATATGGTGGGTACAGAGAAATGTTAAGATGTGATTGAGATTTCAAGGAGCTTCTACGTCTAGTTGGATAACAGTTACTGGATCAGTAAACTGCTTCCACAATAATGCACAAGACTCTTCCACAAGAATCTCAGTGACACGCAAGATTTTTTTTTGTAGGTTAGCTGGAGCAACTTCTGATCTCATAACCCTTTGTAGGTTTTCTGATCTCAGCTGATCTAGACTGGGCAGTTCTGACTGGGTAATTCTAAATTACAAGTTGGGTCTAGGACTCTTCTATGCAATTATCCTCCTGTTTTTAATAGCAGGAAAGTGTATTTCAACCCTTTGCCTGTGTTGTAATCAGCTAGTATCCTATTGGCCAAAGCAAGTTAAGTGGCTGATCCTAAAGTAAGGGAATACACATGTACACTTAGTCCACTATAAGACCAAAGCAAGTCATGTGATAATATGTGACTTTGATAGTCTTCCCACAAAGGCAAGGGTAAGGGAGAGAGTTTTGAGTGCCATTGAGTTGGTTCTGACTCACTGGGACCCTGTATAGGATTTTCAAGGACTGACTGGTGGGTTTGAACTGTACACCTTGTGGTTAGTGGTTCGGTGTTTATCCTGCAGTACCACACCAGGACTCTGATCTTCCACATACACCCTATGCTAAGTTAGTAAGGCACCTCATACTATGTTTCTTTACTGTGGTATTTGTTGTTGTTGTTGTTAAGTGCTGCTGAGTTGGGTCCAACCCATAGGGACCCTAATGTATAGGGTTTCCGAGGCTGTGAATCTCTATGGGAGCAGAAGGCCTCATCTTTGTCCTGCGGAACCACTGGTAGTTTCAAACTAATGACTTTGAGGTTAGTAGCCCGACTCGTAACCACGACACTACCAGATAACCCTACCTGTGGTATTTGTTGGTATTTGTTGTTGTTAAGTTCCGTCGAATTCATTCCGACCCATAGCAACCCTGTATAAGGTTTCCGAGGAGCAGCTAGTGAGCTTGAACCGCCAGTCTTACAGTTCAAACGGCTTTGCAGTCTGACGCATTAACCCACAGCACCACACCAGGACTCCTGTGGTATTTAAGGTAGATTGAATACTTAGGTTGGGTAGACTAAATACTTCAACTTAGGTTGAAGCTGTCATTTTTTATGAAATAAGCTCATAATTATAAATATCATAGTTGCAAGGCTTCCTAGCCAATGCATTATCCAATACAAAATCTATAAACCAAATACTGTGTATTAAGCCTATATGTGATTGTTTATTGGCACTCCTTTTTTTACTGTTTGGTTTTCTTTTACCTTTTCTCCAAAGGACTTTGACTTGAGCCAGTTGCACAGGGGCTTGGATGCTCGACCTGAAGTGACTCGCAATGATGTGGCACCAACCCTCATGAGCATGCCCCAGTATCGTCCCCGCCCTGCCAATCCTGATGAAATTGGAAATTTTATTGTTGAGGTAAGTAAACAAAGTTAATATACAGCTCATCTTTATCCTCAGAAAGAAACAGCTTTTTATTGTCAAAACAATAAAAGAAGCTTCGTCAGGTTTTTTTCCTTTACCATTTCTTTTACTGCACTTCATGTCTGACCACCTTTTTTTCTCCTGATTCTTTTTTGGGTCCCATCCTAATTTCAGAACTAATAGCTCCTTGGATCGATCTTAGTTTATTTGTAATGTCTATTTGTTGAAATCAAGAATTGTTAGAAAGGATTTAGTAGAAATTAAAATGAATACTAGAGAGATTCTAAGTAGATCCAGTTTGGGCTCACCAATGGGTCTTTGCTCTCTGTGGTCTTCTTCTGATTGGGGTTTGATGATAAATGTGCATCACAGTTCTACCTGAAAGTCAGAAAAATGGCACCCATATTGTAGATGTGAGAAACTTACTCAACTGTTAATACCATTTAAATACATCGGAGTGTACTCACCTAATGTAAATAGATGACTATGTAGTCAGTCCAGGCCAGTGCATCAGGCACCTCCATTCCAGACACTGTTTTTTAATTATAAAAATAATGCCTTTGCTATTTTAAAAGCATAAATTATGAAAATGTGTATATTTTGAAAAGGCAAAGCAAAAATGAAGGAAAGCATTGTTTTTAGCCTCTGTCCATCCTTCTGTGTGTCATTGGCATCTGGCCTTGATTTGTGGACACTCTGTCCTGTTTGGCTGTTGCTTATTTCTCCCTTGCCTACAGTTAATTTGCCATTTGGGTTTCTAGGGGGAAAATTCTGTGTACTTTCCTATAACCTTTTCTTTTTATCAATAATATATTGTGTATGTTGTATATATTTGGTATTACCTGTAATATCGTGTTGGTATTAATTGCACCAGGCTGTTAACATCTCTTATGGAGGTTGAGGACACCAAGAAAAGGCAGTCTTGCCAAAGATAGCAGTTGTGTGGTTTCTTTCATTGAAAGATCCTGTTGCCCTTTCTTCCTGCTTAGAACTTGAAGGCGGCGGATAGTGACCCTACTGCTCCCCCTTACGACTCTCTGCTGGTGTTTGACTATGAAGGAAGTGGTTCTGAAGCTGCCAGTCTGAGCTCCCTGAACTCCTCGGAATCAGACCAAGACCAGGACTATGACTACTTGAACGAGTGGGGCAATCGCTTCAAGAAGTTGGCAGATATGTATGGAGGTGGTGAGGATGACTAGGGGACTCAAGAAAGAAGCAAGCGATCTATCCCTACACCCATGTGATGGGACTCACAGAAATAATGTCTCTGTTGGTTTTCAGTTCCCTTCTCTTGTGGTGAGTTTTTGAGGAAGAGAGACTGTGATCAGTTATGCCGTTAGGATAGTTAGATTTTCCAATTTATTGATTTAATCTCTGTGTTAGAAAGGTTTTGGCTTGTTTCCTGAGCCTTTTTTTTTTTTTTTAAACCCTTTTTATTTTTCTTTACATGATGATATTTAAAAGATCCTCAAATATCACAACTTCATTAACTATTTCAGCCTCAGGATCTTACCAACACCTAGTGTATTTCCTTAGGGGCTCTGTCTTAATTTAAAAGGAAGGGCCATTTGACCTATTCCTATTGTTTCGAATATAAGAATTTTCTCTTTGTTTTTATGAATTTGTATGCTCTTCCATCACTGCACTGGTGCCCCATGTTCTGATATCCACTCTTACTCCTATAAATTCTGTTGTACTGCCCCAGATGGGAATTCCCTATACAGAGATACTGGGCCCTGTCTGGGTAAGAGAGTTGTGTCTTTCTCTGGCTGTATCTCAACTGGGTATTGTGTACACTAAAGATTTTTGATGGTTTTTCTTTTTTATCTCCTGAGTACATAACTTGAAATGGGCACCTGTCCATTTACTTTGTTTAGCACAGGAGTGTTTATGATATGGATGCCATGTAGGGCACTTTGCTACTTAACAGAGAGCTTGGATCAGAAAATGTGGACAGTTTTCAGGTGCCACTTAATTTTTAATGTAAATTCACCACTGAAACATAATCATACATTTGATTGAGATATACAATAGTGAGTGCCTAATGTGCTGCAGCCAAAACCAGAAGATGTCTAGGTATAGTAGAAGGGATGTATGGAACCAGGGCTTGGAGTTGGGTCACAAGGTCTGCACTGAGCCTTGGCAGTTTACTAGACTGATGCTGAGGATGTTTGAGGGGTAAATAAAGACAGGCTAGGAAAATTTCGGAAGAATGGAGGAATCTCAACATGTGTTTCTTGCTAAGATCTTGGAGCACAGATTTCCCAAGTGCCTGCTAATGCTGGCTGATCTGGATACATTTGCCCCCAAATTGAAGTGTGCATTGGAAATGGAGAAAATTAGAGAACCCAAATTCTTTCTTAGGAGCAGAATGGGAAAAAAACAAAAACAACAATCCTAAAGGTTGTTAAGTAAGGGGATAAAGGGAGGTGGGGTGGGGACCTTCATCCTTGATTTGGATTATCTTATAGTCGAAAGATGAATTTTAAGAAATTTTGGCAACCACAAAAAAAGTTAACTAAATTGCTTTACTGTCTGTTTTCTGTTTTTCGAACAAGTATCCCTATAATCACATCTTAGAGTTGTCTTGATTTCACCTCCCTGCAGTTTCTTTAATGTAGTTTTGTATAGAGAATGTCACTATACTGTTGTTTGAGTGTATGTTTGCGGGTGTTGATTTTGTATTCTCTTTGGGAGTGGAGAAAGAACACAATTTAACTGAAAGAATTATTCTTGGAGATGCATTTTTATAAATTTTATTAAAGAAATTTGTTAAATTGTTGTCAAACTGTTTTATTTTGTTATGCCACAGTGAGCTCAGTCAGAACATGCAGAAAGAAGCTTCATATGGAAATGACTCCCCAGAACTCCATGTCATTCTACTGGAGCCAGGATGGGAGAAATGAAATTCACAAGCATATCCATTCATGTAGCATGGGGTGAAACCAATATCTCCATTTCAATGGGATACTACTAAGGACTGAGCTGAGGGACAGAAGCAAAGCTCCAAACAACATCCATCAATTAGCAAAATTAGTATAGATATGACTCCAGATGTAACTATCAGTATATTTCAGTCAGTGGATCTCCACCAGGCAAGATTGTATTCCCATTCTCCCTCCCTCATCAGGCTACATTTGGTAATTTCTGGAGGTAGTTTTGATTGTCTCAATTGGAAATAACTGCCATCTGCCTGAGACCAGGGATGTGGTAAACATCTACAATGCACAAGACAGCTCTTGAGAAACGTATATCTAGCCCAAAATGTCAGTACCACCACTGTTGAAAAACTGATACAGGTGTACAACTTTTTTCTGCTTAAAGATTTGAGGATGCTATAATGTAAAATTTTATTTGGTTTATAGCTCCATGGACGGAAAACACCATTACTGTAACTAGGAAAATGTTTCCCCAAATAAAGACAGGCAAGGGGTTTATACTGATAAAAGAAATAGTGGGGAAAACAAAGTACTGTTTTCTCCCACTCCCCCCATATGCTTGTAGTTGGCCATTTTATCAAATCAGGTAAAAGTCAGGGTATATGGAGCAATTAAAACTTAGAAGAAGCAGAGAGTCTGCTGAATGTCAACTTAGAATACCTGTGTAATATACCAGCAAAAATGTTCTGTGTCAGCAGAGACACACGTTTTTGGGAAGCTTCTGGAATGAATTTGCCCAAGTGCCAGGGACAAGTTAAGACACTTGGGCCATAGGCCTCTCTTACCCTGGCTTCTTACCCTTTTGCCTTAAGTCCTCTCCTACTAGACAAGGATCAAGAAAAGGAGAACACCCTGGAGACAGAGATAAAGATACTAGGACCTGAAACCCCAATAGAAAAAAGCTACTGGTCACAAAGACAGACAGCCCATAAAAATAGCACCTAGAGCTGACATTTGTCAGCAAAAAGCACTCCATTTCCAAGAAGCCTACACCCCTTTACTAAAAATCAAATGGATTTTCAAGATATCATTTCTCCACTCTTGGAGAAGGAGACCCTTATAAATTAGTGCACCCCAGTTCTGCAGGGTCTTCTCCATTCACAGAGCTGGACCCACTTCTTTCTTTGAAGTATACTTTTGCTTTGCAATGAAGAGCTTCTGAGTGAATGCTTATTGTTTGTGTGTGATTGAGAAGCAGCAACTCGGTGGGACTAATTCTTGCCGAGAATGAGAGGGACCAGGGAAAAATGTGACACAAGTTCCAGTCAATACATTTTTCTTTTGGTTTATGAATGTTTTCAAACCTAGAACTATAAAGATCATCAGTGAAAGACATTACAAAAAAAACAATATATTACAAAAAATCAGTAGAAGATAGAATAGATGACTGGTTCTTCCTATAAATTAGATAATAATATGCATCAAAAGATTTCACAAAAAAGTGAAAATGGAGCCCACAGACTGGGAAAAATTATTTTGCAGTGACATATCAGACAAGGAGACTAAAATTTATAGAAAACTATAAACAACACAATTAAAAAATGGACACAGGACATGAACAGACACTTCAGACAGCCAACAAACATGACGGAATGTTCATGATCATTAGCCATTAGATGCAAATCAAAACAGCAATGAGTAGTCATCGCACACCGTCCTTAATGTTGTTTAGTGCCATTGAGTTGGTTCTGACTTACAGGGACCCTGTATAGGGTTTCTGAGGAGTGGCTGGTGGATTTGAATCATCAGTCTTGCAGATGAGTGCTTATGCTGTAGCACCACACAGTATTAATGGCAATGTTAAGATGCAAAACAAAGTATGCTGGGGAGGGTGTGGAGAGAGTGGGACCCTCTTCCTGCACTGCTGGTGGGACTGTAAAATGGTTCAACCACTCTGGAAAACTCAGACTTAAGTGCCCTCGAGTTGGTTCTGACTCATAGCAACCCTGAATAGGGTTTCCAAGGAGCAGCTGGTGAGCTTGAACCACCAGGACACAAGTAGACAGACACACACCGGTGTTCATCACAGCACTCTTCTCAGAAGCAAAAAGATGGAGACAGCCTAAGTGTCCATCAGTGGAAGAACGGATAAACAAACTTTGGCACATACACACAATGGAATACTAATGCAACATTGAAGAATAACAATGAATCTGTGAAACCCCTCATAACATGGATAAACCTGGAAGACATGCTGAGTGAAATTAGTGAATCACCAAAGGATTGTAAAATCACCAAAGAATCACCATTATTGTAAAAACTTAAAGGTTTGCAGACTAAAAATAAACATTCTTTGATTATCAGGATGGGAGGGAAGGGAGAGTCATTCACTGGCTAGAGGGTACAAACATGTTCCCAGCCTGTGGTTAGCAGTCCATTGCTGATCCTACAGCACCCCATTTTACAGATGATGGCCTTGGATACCCTAGGGAGCAGTTCTACTCTACCTTATAGGGTTTCTGAGGATTTGAATAGACTCAATAGCAGGGAATTGAATTGGATTGGGTTTTGCCCAGAGCAAATTGAGGAAAGGGCTATGAGAATTTGCTTCCTATAAACTAAAATTCAAAAGCTTAAATACTAAACACTAGAGAAATAGGGTACTTAAAAGTCCATTTGAATAATTTCAGGCCTGGAGAAAATTGAGAACATTTTCCTCTTTTCAGATACAGGGCCTTAAGTGTTGTGGGCACTCTGCCAACATCCTAGCTCACATATTAAAATGCACCCAGTGATGCATCTAGGATATACAAATTATTCTATTATCTTTATGATACTGCTTTTGGAATTATGGACGCTAGTTTGTAGAGTCTGAACCTAGAGAGCCTAAAAGCGATACAGTGCTGTTCAGGTGCCATATTATTTTGGGATAGGATTGTCAGAAATGTCTCTTTCATCTTGTAAAAGGGACCCCAATGTGGCCCCCTCCAGCCCTGTGCTCCATAAGCAAGGAATCTGCCAGACCTAAGGGATGTGGCCATTCAGAATCCTGTTCTTCCAGGTCACACTGTAGGTACCTGAAAACACTCCATTATCACTGAGTTGATTATTGTTCCTAGTAATCCTTTAGGGTAAAGGACAATTGTTACATAGGGTTTCCAAGACTGTCAAGTGTTTTTTAAAGTTTTTATTGTGAATTGAGTGATAGTTTACATGGGAGAACATCAGTGTTACACTCATCCTATCATGTTTGTTTCATTGCAATGATTATAATCCCCTGCATGCTTTTCATCATTCAAACCTGTAGAGGGTTTCCGAGGGTGTAAAATCTTTACAGGAGTAGAAAGCCTGATCTTTCTCCCACGGAGCAGCTGGTAGTTTCGAACCACTGACCTTAAGGTTCGCAGCCCGATTCGTAACCACTACACTACCAGAGCTCCTTGCATGCTTTTTATCATTCAACAGTACTTGCTTCTATTCCCTCGGTTTTTTTTTATTGGATGTGCACCAAAACACCCAGGAATACACAATCATTCAAACAGACAAAGGGCACACTTGCAAGACTGTCCCCCAGCTGCCAAGGGCTGTAAATTTTTATGAAAGCAAATTATCTTTAAATTAACAGCTGGAACAAAGAACCGCTGCACCACCAGGCTCCTCCAGGTACCAGGGGGAAAACAAAAACAAAAAAACAACCCAAACCAATGGTTGTTGAGTCAAATTCTGACTCAGCTACCCTACATGGACAGAGTAGGACTGCCCACAGAGATTCCAAGACTAACTCTTTACAGAAACACTCTGCTACATCCTTCTCCCAAAGGGTGGCTGGTGGGCTCAATCTATTGACCTTTTGGTTAGCAGGTGAGTGCTTGAGCCGTGTGCTGCTAGGGCTCCTTCTCCAAGTACTCAAGTGACAGAAATGAAACCTACTGCCATCCAGTAGATTCTGACTCATGGTTCTGTAGGACAGACTAGAGCTACTCCATAGGGTTTCCGAAGCTGTCTTTTGTTGTTGTCAGGTGCCATCGAATTGGAACCGACTCATAGCGACCCCATGCACAGCAGAACGAAACAATGCTCGATCCTGGGCCAACCTCACCACCGCTGCCACCCCCGAGTCCATCAATGATGCCACCTGGCCGATCCATCTCGTTGGAGGTCTTCCTCTTTTTCTCTGACCCTCCACCCTACCCAGCATGACATCCTTCTCCAATGATTGTTTCCTCCGGACTACATGTCCAAAGTAGGAGAGACGAAGCTTAGCCATCCTGGCCTCCAAGGAGCACTCTGGCTGCACTTCTTCCAAAACAGATCTATTGGTTCTTTTGGCAGTCCATGGCATCCTCAATATTCTCCTCCAACACCACAACTCAAAGGCATCAATTCTTCTACGATCCTCTTTATTCACTGTCCAGCTTTCGCATCCATATGAGGCTATTGAAAACACAATGGCCTGGGTCAGGCGCACCCTAGTCCTCAAGCTGACATCTCTGCTCTTCAATACTTTAAAAAGTTCCTGTGCAGCAGATTTGCCCAGTGCAATACGTCGTCTGATCTCTTGACTGCTACTTCCGCGAGCGTTGATAGTTGATCCAAGAAGAATGAAGTCCTTGACAACTTCAATCCTTTCTCCATTGATAAGAATGTTGTTTATTGGTCCAGTGGTGAGGATTTTTGTTTTCTTGACATTGAGATGCAATCCATATCGAAGGCTGTGCTCTTTAATCTTCATAAGTAAATGTTTCAAGTCCTCTTCACTTTCAGCGATCAAGGTTGTATCATCTGCATATCGCAGGTTGTTAATGAGTCTTCCTCCAATCCTGATGCCACGTTTTTCTTCATAGAACCCAGCTTCTCGTATTATTTGCTCAGCATACATGTTGAATAAGTATGCTGTCTTTACTGAAGCAGAATGCCTCATCTTTCTCTGGCAGATTGTAAGTTAAAGGGGCTAGAGGGAAATACTGTTATATATGCAACCCTGAAACAACAATGTTCTAGGGGTAGATGTACAGGCTGAATGCGTATGGGAGGAATAATGGGAGTATACCCACAAATATATGACTTTGATATTTGTACATGGGTATTTACCTTTGCTGCTCATACCCTATGAATGGGTGAAGCGTTGTTGTTACGTGCCATTGAATTCCAACTCATAGTGACTCTGTATAGCGTTTCTGAGGAGAAGCTGGTGGGTTCGAACTGCAGACCTTGTGGTTTGCCGTCCAGTGCTGGTCCTACTGTGCTGCACCAGAAGTCCTACAGGGGGCAAAATGATGAAAACTTCTTAGATATTACTAAACATCTCAAAGCAATGAGTTGTTGGCCTGGAATAGGACCATCGTCTTATGGGACACCATGGTCAATTGGAAGAACATAATCCATAAAGACAATGTTCTATATTGTCTTAGCCGAAAATTGGGTCACCAGGGTTTGTTCTGTTCCAGCCCTGAGGGTAGCAGAGGACCATAACCTCAGGTTCCTCCAGTCACCCAGTCTCTTCGAGAACAGAAAACCCAGGCTTCTTTTAAAATAAAATTTTATGTTTTATTCCACATTTTTACCCACTCTACCCGGGACCTGGTGTGGCGCAGTGGGTTAATGTGCTAGACAGCAAAGCCATTTAAACTGCAAGATCGGCGGTTCAAGCTCACTAGTCGCTCCTTGGAAATCCTATACAGGGTCGCAATGGGTCGGAACCGACTCGACAGCACTTAACAACAACAATGATCCGGGACCTACTTATGTGAGCTCTTTCAGAGCAGTTGGTAGGGGAGCCAGGCACCAGCTAGTTCTTCTGCTATCAGTCGTAGTTGATTCTGACTCATAGTGACCCTGTATAAGGGTTCCAAGGAGCTGCTGGTGAGTTTGAACTTCCGACTTTGTGATTCAAACCAACCTTGCTGTCCAGTGCATTATCCTATGGTGCCACACCAGGTGTGCAGAGGGGACAACACCTCTAGTAAGGTATGTTCACCATTGAATGGTCAACCATTCAAGATCAAAAGGGCAGCATTTACCTAAGGACAAAGTCCAGAAGGGTTGGGAAGGAGGGTAGGACCAAAATGAGAAAGAACCACAGGGAAAAAGCGGAAAAGAGCTCTGGTAGTGTGTTGTTGTTAAGTGCCGTCCAGTCGGTACCAATCCATAGCCACCTTATGCACAGCAGAACGAAACACTGCCTGATCCTGGGCCAGTCTCACTACTGTTCACGCTTGAGTCCATCTGGTAGTGTAGCGGCTGCGAATCTCAAATCTTGGCCTGCAAACCTTAAGGTCAGCAGTTTGAAACTACCAGCGGTTCCGCGGGAGAAATATGAGGCGTTCTGCTCTGGTAAAGATTTACGGCCTTGGAAACCCTGTGCAGGGTCGCTATGAGTCGGAAGTGACTCCACGGTACTTAACAACAACAACAATTTTACAAATAAGTACACATTTGGGGGTGGGGCACAGTTTAATAAACATTGAATTTTCTGGGAATTAAACTGCTGTAAAGACAGAGCAAAAAAAGCTTTTATAAGGAATTTCACTAAAGCATTGGTAGCTATTAGGTTCTCAGTGGAGAACTATGTGTGTATATACATAGAGAGATAAGGAGCTCTGGTAGCGTAGTGGTTACGAATCGGGCTGCGAACCTTAAGGTCAGCGGTTTGAAACTACCAACTGCTCCGCGGGAGAAAGATGAGGCTTTCTACTCCCGTAAAGATTTACACCCTCGGAAACCCTATACAAGGTCGCTATGGGTCGGAACCGACTTGATGGCACATAACAACAAATACATAGATAGATATATCTTACTTCAAAATGTCATTTATAAAGGAATGTCAACAATATTCAGCTGAAGATTGTTTTACTTATCCACATTTATTCATTATGTTGTGCCAGGGTTTCTGAGGAGCGGCTGGTGAGCTTGAACCGCTGACCCTTGAGGTTCAAACCGACTTCGCAGTCCAGTGCATTAACCCACAGCATCACACCTGGACTCCTTTATTCGTTATGTTGTTGTTGTTAAGTGAAGTCGAGTCGGTTGCGACCGATAGTGACCCTGTATAGTGTTTCCAAGGAGCGGCTGGTGAGCTTGAACCGTAGACCTTGTGGTTCAAACCGACTTTGCAATCCAGCGCATTAACCTACAGCGCCACACCACGACTCCTTCTTCATTATTGTTGTGTGCGGGAGAAAGATGAGGCTTTCTGCTCCCGTAAAGATTTACAGCCTCGGAAACCCTGTACAGGGTCGCTATGAGTCAGAACGGACTCCACAGAATATAACAACAACAACAACAAAAGGTACTGGATAAAACAAGAAAAGGGGCGTCTCCCGTTCGAGCACGCCCCGCGCTGCGGGCCCCGCCCCTGGTGCATACATACTCCGCGCCGGCTTTGCCACATTCAATATGGCGGCGGTGCCGGGTCGTGGAGACACGTGAGGCACTCGCAGGTGGCGCGTTCCACTCCATTCATGGCGGCCCGGGAACAGACTGTGGGCGGCGGGGCTCTGGAGACCTGCAGTCTGGAGCGGATTTTGGAGGCGCTGAAGCTGCTGCTAAGCCCCGGAGGTGAGGGGACGGATCTCGGCATCGGGCTGGACCCGGGACTCTCAGGGCCGCTGGTTTTACAGGGCTGCCCTGACTACCACAGCAACGCTCTCCTCAGGCCTCCCCGGGACCCTCGGCCCTGAGGCTGCCCCTCCGCGCACTTGGGGGCTTGGAGGTGTTTGCTGGCCAGCTTCATTTTAGTCTTGAGGAAAACGGAATTCAAGGAAGGGAAGGGATCCGTTGAATAATACTGCCAGCCAGCATCTCTTTAACACTCTCGTCTTGTGTAGGCAGGCGCTGTACTAAGCGTCGTGGGTTACTAGTAACTTCAGTCCTCAAAGCACTCTGAGGAAACAGGTTCAGAAAGGGTGGGCTTGTGATAAATAAATTGACGTCTCCTGCCTCTTGGGGGTCCTGGTGTGGCGGTGTAGGATAAAGCACTGGACCACAGGGTCGGGTTGAACCATAAGGTCGTCGGTTTAAACTCCCCAGCCGCTCCTCAGAAACCCTCTCTCTACAGAGTCTTTATGAGTCGGAACAGACGCAGTGGCACTTAATAACAGACCTCTTGAGGGCGTAGGCTCTAACGTGGATATTTGAGATTTGTTCCAAATGCCACGGAGTCCACCTGAAGACACTAGGAAGCAGTGAAGTTGAAGCTGAGCTTGGGGACCTATTTAAAGATTTAAAGTCCTGGGGGAGATTTACTCTGACCAGTACTGTGTGTGTGTTTGTGTGTGGTGTGGTGGTGAATTGACAAGCTCTTCCCAATATAGCCTTGGAAGAGATCACTTTAAAAGCTTTATCCCTTGTGCAAGTAACTTATCTACCCCACAGATTTTCATATTCCTGCCAATTTGATTTTCCCCACCAGCTTTATTGAACCATAATTCACATACTTTTTAATTCACCCATTAAAAGTATACAGTTCTGTGGCTTTCACTCGATCTACGCAGTTCTGCATTTGTCATTGCCACAATTTTTTTTTTTATTTTATTTTTTAACATTTTCAGTTACTCCTGAAAGGAAATCCCTCAGCTCTTAGCCCTCATCCCCCAGCGCCATTTCCCTCCAGTACCAGGAGTCCTGGTGTGGTGCTGTAGCATAAGCACTGGACTGCTAACCACAAGGTCAGTGGTTCATACCCACCAGCCACTCCTCAGAAACCCTATACAAGGTTACTGTGAGTCAGAACCTATTGGACAGGACTTAACAACCCTGTTTCTGATGCACTGCGACCTCTTGTGTGTCACAGTTGAATTATGTTCTGTAATGTTTTCAGTGGTTGATTTTTTTCTAAAGTAAGTGCCAGATGATCTTGTGAGGTGTGTTTGGGCGGACTCGAAATCCAGCCTTTAGGTTAACAACTCTCTCTCTTCTGGGATTTCCTTTTTATGTTCCACTTGTTATATCTTGTTGCTGTTAATACTGAACTTGGAAACTCATAGGTTTCCAAGGAGTGGCTGGTGGGTGTGAACTATCAACCTTGTGGTTAGCAGTCCGGTGCTTATCCAACAGCACTATATAGAACTCCTTTGTTTCTTCAAGGCAGTAAGTTCCTATTAGAATTTTAGTTTTTATTGAGTCCTGGTGTGGTGCTGTTGGATAAGCACCAGACTGCTAACCACAAGGTGGGTGATTCAAACCCACCAACCGCTCCTTGAAGCCCTATATAGGGTTGCTATGAGTCAGAGCTGACTTAATGGCACTTAATAACCACAAGGCCTAGCCTCAGGCTAAAAGACAAGGAAAAGCAGGAAACTTGCTCATTGCAATTTTTTTCCCTTCTCCAGTTTTTGCTAATTTTGTCCTTTTATCACTTTCAGGTATCTGGAGTGTATAGTTGTTATTTATGCGAGTGCTGATTTGATGGCAATTCTAGCAGTTATTTATTGATTACCCCTTTAGTTCAGTTGGTGCCTACTTTATACCATGTACCGTGCAAAGCACTCATCAAACAAAAGAGTCATGGTTCCTATCTTCATGAAGTTTAAACTCTAATGAATAAGGGAAATAGGCAAGAATAAAAGAATGACTGATTGTGTGCTATGGAGAAGAGAAATTGGGTGTTGTTATAGGAAAGTGGGGGTGGCTTTTAGATTTGTCATGGAAGTCTTCGTTTGAGGAGATAATATTTAAACTGAGACATTTAGATACCCTGTGAACAAACATTTCCATGCTTAATAGCTATACACATAAAAAAGTGTGCACATTTCCTCCAAGACACGTGTACAATAATGGGAAATAGACATTACTTGTAATAGCGCCGTATGAGAAACAATCAACAATGGATTGCATACATAAAATAATTTGTGTGGTAAGTATATAAACTCTGATATAAATAAATTCACTGGAGTGCTATACAGCAATGAAAACAAAGAGGTTGCAGTTACATACAACAATGTGGATGGATCTCACTAACATCATATTAAGCAGAAGAATCCAAGCAACAGAACAGATGTGTATGATTTCATTTACGTAAAGTTCAAAAGCAGGCAAAAACTATAGTTAAGAACACATGTTATAAGTAAGTGTTAAACGAAAAACCAAAAAAGTGATTCTTGTAAAAATCATTTTGGTAGTTACCTTTGGTAGAGAGAATGGAGATAATAATCTGAAGGACAAATAGAGGGGCCTCTGGGAACTGGTAATGCCTTCAGTTCCTTTGTGATAATTCACTGAAATTGTACATTTTTCTTTTGTGCATTCTTTTGAATGTTTATTAAAAACCACTGAGATCTCTAGGATTGAGCTATGTTAAGACCTAGAAGAGCAGTCCCTGGAGAAGATATAATGGCGTCCTGAGTTGGACATGAATCTGGCTTGTGTGAAGTACTGAAAAGAGGCCCATGTGACTGAAATGTAGAAAACCAGATAATGAGTAGAATGAGACACGGCTGGCAAGGTATCTGGAACTAAATCATGAGGAGCTTTACACCCTGGTAAAGAAATCTGTTTTAAGTATTAAGAAATACCTTTTGCTGGTATATGGAAAGTAGGATTAAAAAAAAAAATTTTTTTTTGTGTGTAGAAAAAGTATGAGCAGGGAAACCAGTTAGGAAGTTATTGCAGTGTGCCAGTGGTTCAGTTTAAACATGATAATGGCTTAGACAAAGATTATTATGGTGGTAAGAAAATGGATGAATTTGAGAAATACTATTGGAAGCAGAAGGAGCTCTGGTAGTGTAGTGGTTACGAGTTGAGTTGCCAACCACAAGGTCAGTAGTTCGAAACTACCAGCGGTTCCGCAGGAGAAAGTTGAGGTATTCTGCTCCCATAAAGATGTACAGCCTCGGAAGCCCTGTGCAGGGTCACTATGAGTCAAACAGACTTCACGGGACTTAACAACAACAACATTGGAAGCAGAGTAGACAAGGCTTGGTAATGGATTAGAATAGGGAGATAAAAGAGATGGAAAAGACTGGGTTAAGTAACTAGGTTGGATTGTAGCAGGGAGTAGGAGGCATCTTCTTTGGTAAATATTCTGTTAAAAATTTTCTGGTCATAATGTTAGATAAATGAGACATGGTCTCTTCCCACAAAGCATACACAAGTATAGAAATAAATACGTTGAGTTAGATACCTAAGAAAGGCACCTTGGTGGCACAATGGCTAAACACTAAGTGGATAACTAGGAGGTTGGTGGTGGTTTGAGCCCACCAGTTGCTCTTCAAGAGAAAAGGACTGGAAATGTGCTTCCATAAAGATTGTGGTTGTTAGGTGCTATCTAGTTAGTTCCAACTCATAGCGACCTTACGGACAATAAATGAAACACTGCCCGGTCCTGTGCCAAGAGTACAGCTTAGGAAACCTTATGGAGCAGTTGTAGGTGGAAATACTCATATAGTGTCACTGTGAATTGAAATAGACTCAACAGTGTCCAACAAGAAACATTCAGGTGGACATGTCAAGTAGCACTGGAAATATGTGTGTAACTTCTTGTTGTTGTTGTTAAGTGCCACCGAGTCAGTTCTGACCCATAGCGACCCTGTTTGGGGTTTCTGAGGCTGTAAATCTTTACGGGAGCAGAAAGCCTCATCTTTCTCCCACGGAGCAGCTGACCTTGCGGTTCACAGCCCGATTCACAACCACTATGCTACCAGAGTTCCTTGTGTGTAACTTACATGGGTAGATATAAACTGGAGATACAAATTTGGGAGTTGTTAGTTTAGAGATGATTTATAAAGACCTGATAAAGAGCTCCATTGGCGTAGTAGGTTACACACTAGGCTGCTCACCACAAGATTACACACTGGGCTGCTAACGATGGTCAGTTTGAACCCATTAGTGCACCAAAGATGAAGTTGTCTCCTCCTGTATAGATTTATAGTCTCAGAAACCCTAAGGAGCAATTCAACTCTGTCCTATCGGGTTGCTATGAGTTGGAATAGACGCCATAGCAGTAGTTGTGCCTGATAGGATCATCTGAGAGTATAGGGTCCAGGACCAAACCTGGAGAAAGTAGATGTCTGCTAGAGGAAAAGGAGCAGAGGAGACATTAAAGAAATGGACATTGAGGTAGAAGGAAAGTGTTTGTCCCAGAAACCAAGAAATTTGAGAGCGTAGTCCAAAATCATAAAAAAAGGACCAGGCTTACTGGTCAGATGAGACTGGAGGAACCCTGAGACTATGGCCTTTGGTCACCCTTCAGGTCTGCATCTGAACTCATGTGGCTTAATTTTCAGCCATCCAGTAGATAAGTGTATAGTGGGCACAGCAACAGTGGTAAGGTATGCTTGCCACAGAATGGTCAAACTTTTGGAAAAGGTGGAATGCAAACAAGAATTACAGGGAGGACGTGGGATAAATTGATGGTACACTGAGGGGATGGCAGGCATTGAAATGAAATAAAATGTATGAGCTGTTGAATGTAAAACTCATGATCTGCTCTGTAAACTTTTACTCAATTCACAATAAAAAGTTTTTTAAAAAGAGCAAGCACTCAACTAAATCAGTTGCTGTTGAGAGTGCATGAGGATTCCATTACCAGCAGAGGGCAGAAAAGACCATTTTAGGAAATGTTGGGAAAAACTGAAAGCAGCCCTTTTGGGAGGAGATAATGAAATTGCTTTGAATCCTCTGTCTATAGTTTGTAATCTCCCTCACTGAAGTGTAAATTCCATGAGGGAAAGGACTTTGTGTTGTTCAGTGTTGTACCGCCAGCACTTAGAGCAGTTCAAGTGCAGGAATCTTTGGTAAATATTCTGTTAAAAATTTTCTGGTCATAATGTTAGATAAATGAGACATGGCCTCTTCCCACAAAGCATACACAAGTATAGAAATCAATAAAATGAAGTATAAGTCATGTGTTAAGTACACTTGTAATTACATCCAAAGTGCTGTGGCAGGGCAGGAAAGGTTATCTTAACTTCTGTTTAGGCTGGATTGGCATGACTGGGGAAGGCCTTCCAAAGTGGCACTAATTTCTAAGCTAGGCCTCAGAGGATGAACTGGAGTGGGCGAGGCTTTTCACACATAAGGAAGTACAATTTGTTTCCCATAAATATAATCTCCTTGTTTTCTTAAAAGGATCGGGCTCAAGTTCACTACAGATCACAAAACATGATGTCTTGTTGGCTACTTTAAAATCAAACCTGTCTGCTTTGGAGGACAAGTTTCTGAAGGATCCTCACTGGAAACAATTGAAACTCTTGAGAGATGAAATTGCTAAAAAGGCAGAATGTCCACAAAACTCTATGGATATCACTTGGAGTTTTACCTCTCAAACCTTGTTGTTGCTTCTGTGTTTAAAGGAAACTATGATCCACCTTACAGCTGATTTCAATCCAGGTAAACCCAACCCGAGGACTCCAGAGGTTGCTCCTGCCCTGAGCCCTGATACACTTAGTATCTCACAGCAGAAGACTGTCCAGTCAGTTTTGCAATTTGTAGTCACCTTAGGTGTCTGCCCCTATCTCATTCCTGGTGTTGGAGTCCCTTTGAGATACAGGACTGATTTTGGTGCTGTTGTTCAAGACGTGGTATGTCTCGATGTTGCCCCTGATGCAGCCCGAAGACTGTACACCAGCTGCAGGGTCCTTTTAAATGTTGCTCAGCATACATCTCTTGGGAACTTGATTTTCTGTCGCCATTTTGGAGATATTGCAGCAGGACTGTGCCAACTGGGATTTTGTCCAACCAAAAGAAAGGCAGTAAAACCTTTGGATGAGGTAAGGTACATGGAGAGTGTATGTGTGTGAATATGTATATATATTTGTGTTGTTAGAAGAAAGAATTCTTGAATCATTAGAAAACGGCTGATAGAAAGTCCTGGACTCTGTATTGAATGCCAAGGCCTTATCCAGTGGACACATGGATCTTTTCAGGGGCCAAAGGGCTTTCATTTGTTAGATGCTAGTCCTTTGCATGCCTAGAGAGTCCCTTCCACCCACCTCTTGTTGTCAGTTTGTGAAACAATTCTTCCAGACTGTTTCTTTGAGCCATTGTTTCTCTTTTATAAACTGTATATCTGCCTTGGATGGTGGTTGTGAAGATTAAGGATGATGTGTGTAAAAATGCCCAGGCTAGTCCCCGGTCCCATCCCACGGCCATGGAGTTCATTCCGATTCGTAGTGCCCCTATAGGATAGAGTAGGACTGCTCCCTGGTTTCCGAGCCTATAAATCATATGGAAGTAAAGCGCCTCATCTTTCTCCTGCAGAGCAGCTCGTGGGTTCAAACCACCAACCTTTCACATAGCAGCACAGTGCTTAACCCACTGTGCCACCAGGGATCCTAAATTGCCCATCAAAAATAATTACCAAACTGTTCATACCTCCTTCATTAAGTTATTGGGAGGATAAAATAAGATCAAGTCTATAAAGCACCTTATACACTGCAAAACTCAGTGTGCATTGTTATTAGAAGATGCTCTAAGGTATAAGTGAGTCATGGTTCAGGGCATCTCTTATGCAGGATACGTCCTTAATGACTGCAGCCTGCTTTCCTATTGCCTACACACTCCAGTTCTCTGTCACTTTCCTCTACAACGTCCTGCTTGCTCCCTTTCTATTCACTCTCTTGACTATATTTATAAACATGTGCCTTTATGTTAAGTAGAGCAGAGCTCTGGCAATTTCACCAGTGCCTACTGCCTACACTTATCTGCCATAAGGGAATCTGGATTAACAGTTACTTATTACAGTTACTGGATCTAAGCAGTGCTCCAGGCAGGAAAGAGAAAAGAAAAGGGAAATAACATGGGAGAAGGTGACAGAAGGAAGTACAAGCTGGGTGTACATGAAGAAGTTTGACAGAGTCCCACCAATTGCTACTGCTTTAAGCAGCATCAGTATTGTAATTTGCTAAATGGTAGTGGGCAGGACCCTGACTGCCTGACTCTGAGGTTAGTAATGACCAAACAGGGACAGTACTGTGTGGCTCTGGAGGCCCCAATAAATGGTAGCCCTCTCTTCTTTACCCAAGTTCTGAATCAATTAAAAGACAGTTAATACTATTAGTGTTATTAAGTGATGTGGAGTTGGTTCTGACATATAGCGACCTTGTCTATGGATTCTGAGGAGTGACTGGTGAGTTTGAACTGCCAATGCATTAAACCACAGCACCACACCAGGACTCCAGTTAATAGAATAAGAGGTGAGAAATCAAAATGTCACCTCTATAATTCTAAAGGCAGAGTTGGAAGGTGCTACTTGCATAAAGAGACAAATGGCACTCATAATTAGACTTACTACTCACTCAGTTTGAAGGAGTGATAGGGTCACCATGAGGTGGAATCTACTTCTTTGAAGTGGGTTTTGGAAAAGGGGGGATGTGCCTGTAAAATGCTCAGCAAGGAGTGGAAGAGAAGGTATGCTCACTCCCAAAGAGAAGAGAAACAACTGAGCTGTGTATGCCCAAACGTGCCAATAAGTAAGTGTTTTCCAAACTTACCAGTAAGACAAATTACATCTCTGTCCAGAAGTGGAGTGTGTGCGGGGATGGAAAGGGCCAGGGGTGTTGCAGTAGTACAGCTTTTTCCATGGAGAAGGGATCCAGAGAGGAAAGAAGCATTCCTTGCTCCTCCCTCACAAGTATCTTTATATAATATTGCAAAGCATTACCTTCTAATGGTCCTGGTGTGGTGCTATAGGATAAGCACTGGACTGCTAACCACAAGGTTGTTAGTTCAAACCCACCAGCCACTCCTTGGAAATCCTAGACAGGTCACTATGAGTGGGAACCAACTTGATAACCACTTAACAACACCAATAACCTAATGACTGCTTGCTTGGTTTGCATTCCACTAAATCCAACTATATATTCTTTCAGGTTTTAAAGGAAGAAGAAAGAGCTCTATGTAGGGGGACCTTGAAAAACATCTTGGATCAAGTGTATCAACCATTAGCAGTCCGGGAATTACTTATCCTCCAGGGAGGACCTCCCCAGGTATTCAGGCCCGGGAACTCTTGTGGGTGAATTATTAACAATAACATGTGATGTGCTCTCTTCTTCTCCCAGGAAGTTAACTTTCACTCAGTGCCCTGTGCTGATTCTGACTCATAGTGATCCTGTAGGACAGAGTTGTCCCATAGGGTTCCTGAGGTGTATTTCAAATCAGAAAATGAAAACTAGAATATTTATTGAGACTATTCTCTCTTCTTTTGTTTGAAAAACAATGCTCTATTTTCTACGAGGCATAAGTGTCTCTTGCTTTCTTCCTTAAAAACAGTTATTTATCTAGAGTTAGTTAATTTTATAATGTAGGTGGAATTATCTGTTTACATTTTGCACCTAAATTTTAGTTATAAATCTAAGTGACCAAAGAGTGAAGGGCCAAAGGAATTGTCTATGAGTCAGAAGCAATGACCAGGCTGACGCCAACTGCAAAAATCTCTCCTAATTGAAGTCTAGGAGGATGCTGTGAGTTGAAGAATCCTGCCTAGAATACTACTTACTGTAGCTTCACACTTCTCTGAGTGAGTCCACAGTTTGCCAGATTAAACTAAATGCATGATAAGAGTATAGTAGAGAGCAAAGACTGTGAGGCTGTGCACACCTGTGTGCTTTCGTATGATTTACATTTCCTCAGTTTTCTTACCTTCAGAATGGGGATAATAATACAGTCTTCCTTACAAGTTCCTTCTGCAATTATGTGGGAAGAACTTAGCCTAGTGCCTCCTCATCATTATGCTCTCAGTAAATGGTAATTATTAATTCTCCTTAAATGAAAGAGTCAGGGCAGACTAGTTAGGATTAAATGTTTCTGTCACTAATTCTGAAGAGCCCTGGTAGCATAATGAGTTATGAACTTGGTTCCTAACTACAAGGTCAGCCGTTCGAATCTACCAGTCATTCCGTGGTTAAAAGATGAGGCTTTCTGCTCCCGTAAAGATTTACAGCTTCCCTATACAGAGTTGCTATGAGTCAGAATTGACTCGGTGGCACACAGTCACCACCGTCACTAATTCTTGGCCCCTGGTGTGGTGCCAAGGATAAGCACTGGACTGCTAACCACAAGGTTGGTAATTTAAATACTATAGAGGGTTGCTATGAATTGGAACCAACTTGATATCACTTTACAACAAAAGACAACATCACTGATGATCATATAGTTAGCTGCAGTGATTTAACAATGGTATGGTTAATGTTCTAACCTAAAATTAGGGCCATCAAGTCTGTTTTGTTCATAGTGGCCCCTGGAGAAGTCACCTAAAGAAATCGAATTCTTTCTTGCATTCTAGGTCAAAAGAAATCAGAGTAGCTGGAACCATGGAGGCAAAGGCAAAGGCAAAGTGTTCCCTCCCTGTAGTAAACGGTCCTCTTAGCAGTGAATGTTGTTCGTAAGAATCTCCTTTGGAAGCTAGAGTTGATTTGGAAGGACTGGATTCAGAGATTGGTTAGATTAACTCCCAAAGTCTGTATTTTATTCCTGATGTGTTTGTTCATTAATGAGTTTAAAATTTCACAGGGATATTTCCTGAGATATTTCTACTTTCTTAAAAGTGATACTGAAAAAAATAATGTTCAAGAAATTTTTGTAAATGAGAGAGCGTTTTAAAGAATAAATATTCTTTGAAAGTATTGCTATTTGAAGTCTGTATGTTGTCATTAAGTGCTTTTGAGTTGGCTCTGACTCATAATGATTTGTGTAGGGTTTCCAAGGAGTAGCTGGTGGGTTTGAACCACCAATGTTGCAGTTAGCAGTCAAGTGCTTATCCTACATTGCTAAGCCAGGACTCTGAAGTCTGTATTTGTTGTTACTGTTAAGTGCTATTGAGTCAATTTCCTACTTACAGCGACCCTGTATAGGATTTCGGAGGAGCAGCTGGTGAGCTTGAACCACCAAGCTTCTGGTTCAAACGAACCGTGCAATCCAGTGCTTTATTGTGCATCGCTACATTAGGACTCCCAGAATTTGTCAGTGTGACTCCATGACTCAGCATTATCAAAAACAAAATAAAACAAAATTTCCACATATTCTGTTTCTTTGAAGAATTCCTCTCATTCCCTTTCTTTTTTTGTAGTCTTGCACAGATGGGAAGACACAATTTGGGTCTCGGGCCCCAGCTTGGCTTCGGCGTCTTTGTGGACAGCTGCTCTCTGAAAGGTTAATGAAACCGTGTGGTGTTCAGGCAGTAGTCCGGGGCATTTTGGAAGGAGCAGGAGGTAAGAAATCAAATATTTTTTTGACTTTGATATGAATTTCTCTTCAAGTCATACTGAGGTGGATTATTGGTTTTTAGGCTGTCTTTAAAACTTGATTGAATCTCAGCTGTGCCTTTGTGGAAATTAAGGAAGTTAAATATGGAGGCCCTTATGAGCCTTTTTAAAAAAAGTTAATATGTCACTTAAAATTTTTAACACATTTATTTGTTGCTGTTAACAGTATACACAGTAGAACATAAACCAATTCAGTAGTTTGTACCTGTAGAACTCAGTGACATTGATTACATTCTTACAGTTGTGCATCCATCTTCACCTTCCTTTTTGGAGTTATTCTTCTTCTATTAACATCAACTCACTGCTCCCTAAGGTTCCTAGCTAATCTGAGTTGTTATTGTGAATTTGATCCCATCTATGAAGGTAAGTGTGGCACTGCAGGTTAATGCTCTGGACTGCAAGGTTGGTTTGAACTGCGAGGTAGGCAGTTGAGGCTTACCAGCTGCTCCTTGGAAACCTTATACAGGATCACTGAGAATTGGAACTGACTCAGTGGCACTTAACAACAACAACAATGACATGAAGGTAAGTAAAAAACGCTACAAAATCATAGAAACCTTTATTAAACAGAAATAACATATCCTCCATCTTCTTGTTAGGTGCCGACTAGTTGGTTCTGACTTACAGAGACCTCTGCTTAACAGAGTAAAACATTGCCTGGTCCTGTGCCATCCTCACGATTGTTGGTATATTTGAGCCCATGTTGCTACCAATGTGTCAATCCATCTCTTTGGTGGTCTTGTTCTGTATCATAGACCTTCCACTTTCCCAAGCATGATGTCCTTCTCCAGGGACTGGTCCCTTCTGACAATATGTGCAAAGAATGAGAGATGGAGTCTTGCCATGCTTTTAATGAGCATTCTGGTTGTGCTTCTTCCAAGACAGATTTGTTTGTTCTTCTGGCCGTCCATGGTACTTTTAATACTCTTTACCAACATTATAATTCAAATGCATAAATTCTTCTACAGTCTTCCATATTCACTGTCCAATTGTCACATGAGTATGAGGCAAATGAAAATACCATGGCTTGGATCAGGCACATCTTGTTAATCTTCAAAGTGACATCTTTGCTGTTGAACACTTTATAAAGAGTTCATATGCAGCAGATTAGCCTAATGCAATATGTTATTTGATTTTTTGAGTGCTCCTTCCTTAAGTGTTGACTGTGGATTCAAGCAAAATGAAGTCTTTGACAACTTCAACCTTTTCTTTATTTATCATGATGTTATCTATTAGTCCAGTTGTGAGGATTTTTGTTTTCTTTAGCCAGTCTTCTGTTTATGGGCATTTAGGCTCTCTCCATCTTTTTGCTATTGTTCATAGTGCTACAGTGAACACCAGTGTGCATGTATCTAGTTGTGTCACAGCTCTTATTTATTGAGGAGATTATGTCAAGTAGAGGGATTGTTGGGTCATATGGTATTTCTGTTTCCAACTTTTGAGAAAGCGCCATACCGTTTTCCACAGTGATTGCACCATTTTACAGTCCCACCAGCAGTGTAGGAGGGTTCCAGTCTTTCCAAACCCTTGCCAGCATATGCTGTTTTTGAGAACTTTGCTATTAATGTTGGAGTAAGATGATATCTAATTGTTGTTTTGATTTGCATTTCTCTAATGGCTAATGGGGTCCTGGTGTGGCGCTATAGAATAAGCACTGGACTGCAAGATAGGTTTGAACCACAAGGTCAGCAGTTCAAATGCACCAGCTGCTCTTCAGAAAACCTATACAGGGTGACTATGAGTCAGAACTGACTTGACGGCACTTAACCACAACAATGGCTAATGCTCATGAGCATTTCTGTCTTCTGTTTGTGTGTTTTCAGTTATGTTTGATAGAGTATTTATGCCATGTATTAGCGCTCCTATGTTTGTCACTATTTTTTCATTGTAATTCTAGGTTTTACATTTAGGTCTTTGATCTACATTGAGGTCATTTTTTGTATATGATATGATATAGGTCTTGTTTCATTTTTCTATAAATAGATTTTCAATTTTGCCAGCACCAAGGAGTCCTGGTGTGGTGCTGTGGGTTAATGTGATATACTGCAAAGTCAGTTTCAACTGCAAAGTCAGTGGTTCATGCTTACCACTTGCTCCTCGGAAACCCTATACAGGGTCTTTATGGGTTGGAACCAACTCAACAGCACTTAACAACAACATTTGTTGTTTGGGGTTTTTTTGAAGTTGTTAAGGGTTTCATTTTACTTGTATGCACAGTCAGCTCTCATGGAAGGAGCAGACAAGAAATGAAATCAAAGGATATATTGCATTGGGCAAATCTGCAAAAGGCCTCTTTAAAGTGTTAAATAGCAAAGCTATCACTTTGAGGACTATGGTGGACCCAATCCAAGCCATGATAAAGCTGAACAATAAATAAGGAAGACCATAGAAGAATTCATACATTTGAATTATGGTGTTGACAAACAATATTGAATGTAACATGGACTTCCAGACAAATGAACAAAGCTGTTTTGGAAGTAGAATCAGATTTCTCCTTAGAAGCAATGATAGTGAGACTTTGTCTCTCATACTTTGCACATGTTATTAATAGGACCTGTCCCTGGAAAAGATCATCATATTTTAAAAAGTAGAGGGACAGGGAAAAAGAGGAAGACCCTTAGTTAGACAGATTGACACAATTACTGCAATAGTAGTTCAGTCATAACAACAGTGATGAGAGTGGTGCAGGACCCAGTATTGTTTCATTTTGTTGTATATAGGGATGCTGTGACTCAGCTAACAACAACAACACAGTTGTGATGACAATGACTTAGAAACAACATTTTGATAATCTCGAATTATGGGGTAAGAATATATTTTACCTCAGTTTTCATGTTTTTGTTATTTAACTAAATCAAGGCAGTAATTAATAGATAAGCTAAGCAGTGAGAAATGAGGCCAAATTAAGCAATTCAAGGCTGATGGAGATTCAAACTTTTCATCATTTTTGTCTACAATTTCTAGGCATATAAGTGGTGAATAATAAAATAGGTTCCTTTTTTTTTTTTTTTTTTAAAGTTTTTATTGTGATTTGGTTATTGTAAATAACACTTCAGTGAACACTT